CCCTTCTTTTAAGTGACTGCAGATCTAAGGGTGGAGAATTAAAAAAATTTATTTTCCCTAGTTTTCTTAATTAGATCATATCTTTTTCATTCTAACTCGGATTTCAATTTTTTTCCACAGATGGAACGAGTTCGTTGTGCTTTACAAAATGATATCAATTTTCAATATTTTTTGAGAATTTTTTTTTTTCCATCCCTCTCGTTACCAACTCCATACCATATTGTATCTCCTTCTTTGTTTAGTCATTTTCGGAAATTTTTGCACAAAAGGAACGATTTAATCATGATCTATTGGATTTCGAAATTTTATGGGGGCAAAAATTTCAAACCTCTCGTTACCAACTCCATACCATACTATACCACCATGGTATGAGGTGGTATTTTTCATACCATATGGTATGCTATTATTTAATATCATATGGTATTGACTGATATTAAATAACAGCATATGGTATTGACAGGTATTTTTCATACCATATGGTATGCTGTTATTTAATACCAGTCAATACCATATGGTATAGACTGGTAATAACTGGCAAATTTTTTTTGTTCCAAAAAATATCAAAGTGGATATTATTTTGAAGAGCACAACTAATCTGATCTAACTGTGCAAAAAAAAAATTCGAGTTAAAACGAGTGAAAAATCGTCCGTTAAAGATTAAGGGAAAGAAAATTAATGATTTTTCCAGGAGAGAGAAGGAGGCGTTGATGTGGCAAATTCTTATTGGGTTATGCATGGGGTTACTCACCACAAGGTTACTCACCGAATCTACTCCCCTAAACTAAACCGGTAAGAATTTTCTGTCGGCACCTTGTGCCTTTCATAACTACATTGGTTATTTTGCATCTATCCAAAATAATTGAAATATTCAAATTAAGAAGTAAGTGTGGTCTTAGTTAACAAATGAGTTGTGAATACGCCGTTATTACATTTAATAAATAAAATAAAATAACATGCTAAGAAAAAAAAATGGACAGCGCAACGTGTCATAATAATTAGGAGAAGAGATTTTTTTTTCCCGGTGATTAGGAGAAGAGAAATTAGGAGGAGCGGCTGCTGGCTTGGCTTGGCTTGGCTGGAGAAGACATGCAAGAGGTCAAACCAAAGACTTGGAAATTCCCTTGAGATCGATTTTCCACTGCTGCTCAGCTTTTGCTGTCCGGCCAAGTCCATTGTTTCCCTTCGCTATCTATCAAAGTAAGTGAAAGCAATTATTTGGGGCTGGCTGTGGCTGTGGGTTCCCTTGCTTAATTATCGTCTATTTTGAGTGTGATATTCATGGCGCAGAATCAATACAACGGCCCTTGATTGATTTTTGTTCATTTCCATGATTTGTTCCTTTTGGAAATGCGAGGTTTGACTTTTTGACTGCAAATTCGTGGACTATCGTCTATCGATAGCTGGTCAACATGCCTTTTTTCTTCTCTTTAGTTACGCAATTTCCGTTCACAGATTTTCTCCAGCAAAACAATTGTGTTCACACTTCACATATCACTACTAGGCACTAGCTGAGCCAAGCTTGTTATTTTTTCTTTTCTTTTCCACTCTTAGATCGAAAAAAGCACACATGTATTCACCACGAAATACGATTCTGGTAGCTCTAGTTGTTATAAGATGTTATGGTATGGATTATGGATATCAGATAATTCTTCTTACGTGTCCTCTTAAATGAAAATAATCCATTAAATACCGTCTACCAATTTAGCTTCCGAGAGAAGGTTTTTCTGGTCAAACCGTACGATTTTTTAATCTTTGAGTATCATAGACACATTGGTTTAAATCCACGGACATAAATTGAATCGCCCTTTGAAAAGGTGTGCCTTTCTTGTGTGGGTTCAATTAGGGGTGGAGGTCGGTGCAGTTGCGGTTAACCGGACCACATTTAGCGGTTAACCAATCACAAATCTCTAAATATCCCAACCACAAACCGCACCATTGTGGTTAGTAATTAACCACTAGCCGCTCTGGTTCGGTGCGGTTATTTTTTGATTAACCGCAAAAAATCATTTACCAAACTCATAAATCTATCTATATTTCTTATATGTTTGTTATAAATCAAATTTTTTTAGAGAGGTACAAAGATGACATAAACGATAAAAAAAAATGAGAATCATAAAACTATTAAAGGAAAATACACATTTAACAACAATTCAACATCATTCTTATCGAATAAGACGTTATACTTCAATAATTAGTAGAAATTAGAATCTTCTATAACTAATTCAACAATATAACAAATAACTTGTTAAAGTGCTACCTACTAAACAAGTTCTCTTAATTTTATTACCATACTTATTAATATTAATTTTTAAAAATAAAATGATAATATTAATTATTACATACTAATACATATAAAACTAAAACTTCAACGGAAACTGTAGTTTGTGCGGTTATTGTAGTTTGACTACAATGGTTAGCGGTTAACCACTAACCGCAAAATCACAATTTAACTACCCACAATAAAACTACTAACCACAAAATATGGTTAGTGGTTAGCCAAACTATGTGTGATTAAGTGCAGTTTATGGTTAAACCGCAAACCACAACCCAAACTTCCACCTCTAGGTTCAATGCTTCTGCGGTTTCCATCAGGCCCGGACTGAATTGGGCTTCGTTTCACCAATCCAACGTCGACTATGGCCCACATTAGTTACTGGCTTCCAGAATTGGGCTTCTCTATATGGGTCACTGTACTAATGTGGAGCTCGATTCGGAATTTGAAGCAATTACCTGGAACAAGATTGCGGTAGATGTGCATGACGACTAGGGTCGAAATCGGTACGGTATCGGTATCCTAATACCAAATACCGAAATCCCGAATATCGAATTACACCCTAAAGTCAATCCCAATCCCAATCCCTAAATAATTTCGGTATCCCAATCCCTAAATATTTCGGTATCCCAATCGGTACCTCGGTATCCCAATCGGTATTATCAAATACGAAATTAATTACCTTTGCAATTAATAATTAAATATATAAATTAGATTTTATTGTTTAATTTACGGGAAAAAGACTAAGCAAAGAGTTTTGAATTAGGATATTATTATGGAGAGTGGAGGAGAGGAGACATCTCAAGTTCTTGTTATTGATAATCTTTAATTTGACGAATTAGAGGTTGAGAGACGACTATTAATAATGATGGAATTATAGGGTTAATTGCATGGTTGGTCACTAACATTACAAAAAGCGTTCATGTTTGGTCACTGAAAAAATTTAAATCCATTTGTGGTCACTAACTTTATAAAACCCGTTCATTTATGGTCACTCTCCGTTAGCTGCCGTCCAATGCCGTTAACGGCGTCCGTTAAGTGATGACGTGGCTGACGGATTCGCCTAATCAGCACCTTTTGACCCTAAAATTGACCGCCACGTCATTTAAACCCGCCATGTCAGCTAAACCTAACCAAACCTAACCAAACCTCTACCCAAACCCGAACAGTCCCAACCCACCCACTCATCTATGTTATTTATGTCGCTTTCTGGGCAGACGGCCTCCGCCGCCGTCGGCGCCGTAGCTGCCTTGCCGGAAAATTGAAATTTTGGGTGGAATTGAAGCTTCGACTCGGCAGAGTTCCCGGAGGAAGCCGAACTCGGTCGGGTCGTCGTTCGAGAACAAGAAGATGGAGTAGCAAGTCCGATTGTAAGATCCAAATTCAGTTCCTCCCGCCGCTCGCCGCCGGAGGCGGCGACGGCGGGCCTTTGAAGCGGCTGTTCTTCGTCGGTGGTCATCCCACTGCTGGAGCAGTTGTTTTCCTCGACGGACTCTGCTTTTACCACCGTTTGGAATTTGAAATCCAGGATACTGCTAGCCTTCATCGTGTTGGATTGGAGGAGACGGTTTATTTCCGCCATGGATTGAGCTTGAGCCGGCGCCGATTTGAAATCCAACTAGGTAGGCTTCGTCGGAGCAGTAACAGCAGCAGCGGTGACGGTGGTGGTGGTTGCGGGAACGGCGGCGGAGGCTGGTTTCTCGTTGAGGGAACGGTGAGTCTGCGGGTCGAGAGAGAGGAAAAACAGGGGAGAGCGAATTTATTGTAGAGAAGAGGAAGAAAAGGGAAGGTGGGTGTTGCCAATAAGAGAGGATTGAGAAATGGAGTATTAATTATAGAGCAGAGAGAGGGAGGAAGGTAGAAGAAGAAGAGAGGATGGGAAGTGGAGCAGACGGCCTCCGCCGTCGTCGGCGCCGTAGCTGCCGTGCCGGAAAATTGAAATTTTGGGTGGAACTGAAGCTTCGACTCGGCAGAGTTCCCGGAGGAAGCCGAACTCGGTCGGGTCGTCGTTCGAGAACAAGAAGATGGAGTAGCAAGTCCGATTGTAAGATCCAAATTCAATTCCTCCCGCCGCTCGCCGCCGGAGGCGGCGACGGCGGGCCTTTGAAGCGGCTGTTCTTCGTCGGTGGTCATCCCACTGCTGGAGCAGTTGTTTTCCTCGACAGACCCAACCCACCCACTCATCTATGTTATTTATGTCGCTTTCTGGGTAGAGGTTTGGTTAGGTTTGGTTAGGTTTAGCTGACATGGCGGGTTTAAATGACGTGGCGGTCAATTTTAGGGTCAAAAGGTGCTGATTAGGCGAATCCGTCAGCCACGTCATCACTTAACGGACGCTGTTAACGGCGTTGGACGGCAGCTAACGGAGAGTGACCATAAATGAACGGGTTTTGTAAAGTTAGTGACCATAAATGGATTTAAATTTTTTCAGTGACCAAACATGAACGCTTTTTGTAATGTTAGTGACCAACCATGCAATTAACCCTGGAATTATATGTGTATAATTAAATGACACTTTTGGTGGTTGATGGTCATTTAGTAGTAAATGAGAGAGTCTAGTTGAGAGGATAAAATACAAACTAGCTTATATTTCGGTATTGATCGGTATTTCGGTATATCCCGATCCCAATCCCATAATCCCTAATACCGAATAACAATTGAAATTCAATCCCAATCCCAAAAAATAATACGTGTATTCGGTAATACTAAATATAGACAAATTCGGTACGGTATTCGGTATATCCCAAATACCGGTACCAAACTTCCAGCCCTAATCACGACGATCGCCGGAGGGAATCCCAGTTTCCCCTTCTCCCTCTGATTCGCGCTACAACTCCCAGGTTGGGGTTACTGTACCTTCTTCCCCGTATTTTAGTTGCATCAGAAGTCAGCTATGGCGGTAGTTTCTTAATCGCTTACACAGTGCTTTACCTTTGATTTTTCTCTTTAGGAATCAGAATGAATCCTGTTCCTTACTCCGTGCCTCAAGTGGCTCGGCAACCTTCTCCTTGGACGCCGATGTTGCCTCCCAATCCACCGCATTCAATTGCATTTTGGGAGAACAGGAATGTTCACGAGCGGCGGAGGGAGCTGCAAGAGACTCTGGTTCTTGCAGAAACAATGTACACATTTGACTGATTGTTCGCCATTGAGAATGAAGAGCTTTGCTGCTTGCGACATTATTCGTAATCGAATTACTGTTTTGCATCAGGCAAAGAGAGCTAGAGGCGCTGGCAAAGCTGAAGTCTATCGAAGGATCTGGGGAAGACAGGGATAGGGTTTCCGCTGAACCTTTTACTTGTGAGCTCTCTAAGTGTCTAGAGGACAGGAAAATTGATCTAGCAGCACAAGAAAATGTCTCTGTCAGTGCAGCAAATGATTTAATGTCGAGGCTAAGAGCCCAGCTGGAGCCGTTTCGCTATATCGTGGACGAAACAACCCCCTGGGAGGAGAAATCAGCAGCAGTTAGACTATCTGAGAAGTTGCTCAAGTCCAAGAGGAACAAACGTTGGAGAAAAAGAAAACGAAAACTTGCTGCAGAAATGCATGCGAAGGTGGGGTTCTTATCTCAGGGATTTTCTCTCCTTTCTTTTCTGTTTGATGGGTAATATTGTTGGGGTAATTTTAGGCGGATGAACGGTTTGAGCAAGCTGACACGGAAGCTGATGAATGGAGGGCTAGGGAGATTGCTAAGGAGGCAGCACAACTCAAGGTAAACTGAATTTTATTCCATAACTAAGTTCTTTAAGAGTTTTTAGGAATTTTCCCCTTTATATTTGATTTGCAGTGGGAACTCAAAAGGAATAGAAATGTTTTGGATTCTCTTTTGTTTCGTATACTGTGCTGTTGAGAAGTCAGGTCAGAGTTAGAAACGTAATACAGCTATCGTGGCATATGTAACATGACCCTATCGATGAAATTTTCCAATAGTTCGATTGATGTTATTGGTTGTTTCTTGGTGATGCTATTTATGTGCTACAAATAGGAGACTGACCCTTCCAAGATTTTCAATAGAAGCTTATGGCTGAATAACTTTTGCCTTGACTGATTGGTTGCAGGTGGAAAGTATGAATGCAATTGCAAAGCTTAAGGCTAAAGAAGAACGAAAGAGACTCGAATCTGAGGTGAGATTGGTCGTACATGCTACGGTGATGTCAGTTTTCTCTACTAATCAAGAGTCAAGATTACCAATCTCTCCAGAACTAACCCTTCCTATGCATGCATGCTCCTCGTGAATACTTCAATTGTTTTAATCTATTCACGACTTGTTGTGGTTTTTGTTCTCATTCTATGTTAATCGCGATTTCGAAGTGGTAAGACTCCTACTGTTGAGATGGCATGACAAGAAAGGTCTTTTATGAGTCTTGGTTGCACCCTTTTATTAGAAAAGGAATCCCGGAACATGTTGGACTTCATTTTAGATGTATGGGATGATTGAAGGAGAAGTCTGCTACCGAAACCGTCTTTGTTTACTGATATGAGTTTAGTGACTAGTGTCTTATTCACGGTGGATGCTCTAGTGTCTTCTATTTACCCTGTTTCCAAATGAACCTTATTTGTATCTCAGACTTATGTCATCTGCATACCCTACATTTCAGCTTGAACTGGTCTTGATGGTTGAGAAGTTGCAAGAGTTGCGTTCCTTGAGGATCCAAAAATTAAAGAAACAAGGTACCGATGATAATTTTTGTTGGAAGCTAATTTCTTTGCTCTAAATTTACTCCAGCTATTTTAAATTCATTAGCTTGTCAATATGCATTTCTAGTACCGCTGATCATTAGATCAAAGTGTTCTGGAGTCTTCTGGTGATCTTAGTGTCTTGAACTAAGGTTTGTACTGAATGATTATGCAGGACATTTTCTACCTGAGGAGGACGACAAGTTTCTGGAGAAGGTCCAAGCTGCAGCTGAGGAAGAGGAGCGTCTGGCGCAGGCTGCAGCTGACACAGATGCTGCGAAGGATGCAATTGCAACTGCTTTAGAATCAAGGAAAAGCATGCAGAGCAATGGGTCTGTCCCAAAGGAAGCAATAGGTGATGTTAATCAAGATAGAGGAAGCCTAGACCAAACAATCCAAGGAGAAGAAAGGATAGGCTCTGCTGCAGAAAGTGGTCCATCCGGAGAGAAACCACCTGAAAGTCATAGTTATGGCGGAGCATTTAACACAGTGGAAAATTTACCAATTGAATTCTATCATTATTATCATGGAAGCAGTAATGACATGGGGACACTCATTGAGGTGATTCTCAGTACATCCGTCTCTTTTCAACAAAAAAGATTTTCTCATTAGAATATGGCTGCTGATTTCTAGATATGCTTTGTCTATTATATGGGAGTAGTCAGTAGACAATGGGACTACCACTTCATGGGGATCCACATCCACATGTAGTTTTGAATTTTGATGTGATTTATTTTTACTTTGCAGGTTAGAAGGGTGTGGGATGCATATATAAGGCCAGGAGGAAGGTGAGCGTGCTAATTGGCATTCCAATTTGCATTACTCATAGTTCTTTTCATTGTCATAAGACTTCTTTTAAGCATCTTGGTTTTGTATGATCCTCTTCTAATCCTCGTCTGGAACTTGAATGCAGTCGTATACCAGGGCACTGGATCCAGCCACCACGCCCAGCAGATGATACATGGGCATCCTACCTTGTTAAGCCTAAATGACCAGTTCTCTGTTATCTATCAAGTGCCTGATTTGCCTTTAAAGAATAATTCCCGTCCCATTTGCATTTGCAAGCTTCCATAGATTAAGTCTTGTGATGATGGCAACCGCAGAGCTAGAGAACTGAAACAGCAAACAATTTTTTGGCTGGTTTCACAATGACATAGATTTATCCTGGTATATAACAGTGGGGTATAGACGGAGGCCATTGCAAACAAGGTGCTTGATCGGCAGAGTCCAGCATCCATTTGCTAGTCATTTGGATTTCTTTCCTGCCCTTCCAAAAGTGTTTTAGTGAAGCTAGTGAGAGAGGGAGAAAGAGCGTCGACCGGAAATCATGTGGATGATTTCTTGTCCTCTGATCCAATGGTCATGGCTACCAGGAATCCATGTTAGTAAATCAATCCCCTGTCTCACTGCTCCATTTTGTTTGATCATGATTCTGATTGATCTTATGTATGATAATTGTGTTCTGAATTCGTTGAATATGTAGTGAATTTTTTTTAGCATTCAAACAGCTCTCGTGACGATTACACATTTATTAATTTGGCATGTCGTGCATTCTGCCATTCCTACCTTTGCTTCTTGATCCATTTTGTGGTAGCTCAAGATATGAACTGTGTGTTTCTTTCTATTATTATGTTAATGCTCATCCATCTGTGGGCTCTTTTTTCCAGAAATGGAAAGACTCAGTAAGGTGGTCTTGAATCTTCTTCCCAAAACTGCTGCTCGAGATGCTACAGGCAACGGACTGCATATCTTACGTGGATCGCTAGTTCAGGTCAGAAGACCATGTAGCCATGGACAATTGAGAAACAGATGCGCAATTTAATCGTCTGAAGGTGGTCAGCTAGGGCAAACGTTGTGTATTATTTTCAACAAGAAAAGCCTGTTGTGTAAGGGGCACAGCTGTTCTGTGCGATGTTTGCGCCAACCCCGAGTGCTTCTAACATAGAAGTTTCTACATATCTGAAGTTTGTTTTCAGCCAGTTTTAAGGCAAACTTTTCATCATTCATGATATATGTGATGCCCCTGAGGTTGAGTATTGAATAACTGTGAGAATCCCATTGCCGATGCTACCCGATCAAGTTCTGAACTTCTGATTATGCTGCTCGGATGGCAAGTGGCAACTGCATGAACCTACACAGAAATTGTGTATCATGAGCTCTATTGTCGTCCCAAAGCAGGAACTCAATCTAGTCTTGTAGTAGCGTTGGCTAAAGATGGTAAGGAGGTAACTCTTGTGCGTTCAAACCTTAGGCAACAGAACAAACCCAACCAAAAGCCTATGTCAGGTTTGAGAAAATTGGTGTCAAATTGATAGAACATCAATTTGGGAGGCTTTAAATATATCGTTTTGCATGGGAGATTGTTTATATCTTCTGTACCTTTAATAAATCAATCCTCCCATGTTTGAATAAGTTCATTTTTATAAATCTTCCTACTCATAATAACGATTAACGAGTCTATAGCTACCTCACAATTTAGGATTAATGCCTCTAAAAAAACGTAATTAAACTAATCAGTTGTAGCAATCACGGTACTTAACCAACAGTTGTCAGGATGGCCGAGTGGTCTAAGGCGCCAGACTCAAGTTCTGGTCTTCGAAAGAGGGCGTGGGTTCAAATCCCACTTCTGACATTCTCTTTTTTACACTTTCAACAAATTGTTATTGGTAAAGAGAACTTTTAGTTACAGAACTTCTTGATATGGGCATCACTAAATTGGGCGTGTCTATAAAATGGGTAGAGAACATTCGACTTGAAAAGATGAAACACAGGATCATTGAGCTCCAAAACTTCATTTATATTATGTATATGGTTTTCCAGATCCCATCTCAACAAGGTAGAGAGAAAATACGCATACAAATATTACCCCTCCCGGCCAGCTCTTCTGTGCTGAAACTACACAATGAGGCAGGCAGCCTGGTGCAGCCTTCTGCAACAAAGGTTGGTGCAGCCTTTATCTTACCAGACAAGGACAACCGAAACCCCGTCGGCCAACATTTCTGTGAGGTTACTAAATACAAAAGCAGGAGCAGCAGTACTCCACGAATGGAGAAAAAGCTCACTTTTTGTTCTTTTTTTCCTTCAGGCTTCTTGAGAGAAGAATGTGCATAAAGGCTCCTACTTGCCCGGGAATGGATATCTCATTCTTTCTGATCTTTGTCGATTAAGAACGTGGTCCTTTGGAGAAGATGTCTTCGGGCTCACACCAGCTTGACGTAGCATCTCTGATATCAACAAGTATGTGTAAAGAGTTAGCTATAAATGATCTGACGAAGCTTTCCCCAATAATGTGGTGAGAGTTAAGGCTAGAAAACTTGCCTCGTTTCCGTTCGAGCTCTGCATCAAGCTCCTCCTTCCACCTTCTTTGCCTCTCAGAGAAGCTTACGATGCAAGTTCAAACCAACGTGATAAGTTACAGAAAGTGAGGGTGTAAAGACCAAGCATTTGAATGACTGACTAGAAAAGACTAACCTTGGAGTGATTGGTTCCTGCTGCTCCCCGTTAAGGATGCCCGTTTTCCACTCGCTGATTTGAGGGGGTTGAATTTCCTGTAGAGCTCGAGAGTGGATGATGCTGTTATCATTTGCCCTGTAACTTGCAGTCATACCAGGACTACTGCTAGTCGGAGCATCAACAACTGAAGAAAGTCTTCTGCTCGGTGGCAGCTGTTTTGGAGACTTGCTTTTCGGGGGTAATAAGGAGATTGAAGAATTCCTCATATTCTCATAGTTCTTCTTTCCGGCTACTCTTGGTGGAGGATCATTAGCAGTCAATGTGCTGTAGAACTCCTTGTACAGAGGCGTTTGAAGCTTCTTCAAATCTAAAGCCTGGTTAAAAATTGCAAGACAAGGTAGGAGAGAGCTTGTAAACAAATATCACCAGAATAGGAAAAAATTACTGCAAGGAATCTACGATGTCAATTAAGAGAAATGGATTCTACCTTTTCATCCAAGAAGGCCCTGATTTTCGACTCTGTAAGTTCTTCATCATCCTCAGTTCCCAATGGGCCACCAGGAAATGCAAACTCATTCCCTTCCTTGCCAGACAGTTCAAGGCTGCTACTGGCGACCTCATTGATAAATTGGCTAGAACGGAGTTCGCTTCTCCTCACTTCTGAACTTCCATGTGACATTGTCGGCCAATCATCAGTTGGCTCACACATTGGATTGAAACTCTGGTTTGGAAAAAATAATATGTTCTGCTTATTTATCCTGAACCTAAACTATACAAAAGTTCATTAACCCATGTTGAAATAAACAATACGCTGATACCTTGTTTAAGTCTGTAGAAGAAAAGACAGACTTGAACTTCGACGATGTCCTAACAACCATGAAATCGTCTTTATCATCTATCTGGCACATATCATCATCTAAACTAGAAGTGCCATGCCAGTATGAACCAGATCCTGATGTGCTCTCAGGATATATTATTGAGGACCTCATATTGCCACCCATGTCACCAACATCCTTTAAGCCTCCACAGGTCGATCTTCTGATTGAAGGGTTTATGCTGCATCATTATACATTTGTTGAATGTCATGAATGCAAAACCAAAAAACACTCTGTAGGAAAGGGCAAGGTTAAGTTATGGCTTACGAGTTCCTAAGGTTCATAGTGCTCGTCATCAAATTTCTTGATTCCTGGAGTCAATAGATGAATGAAATAAAGCAACGAGGAATAGAGAATTAGGGCAGACAAAATAGAAAAGGAAATCTTCTATTATATACCCTGAGTGAACTGCGGAGTTGAGGAGTAGATTCGTTATAATCCTCAGTGACAAATGGATGCTGCATATATACAACGGATGAACAGTTAAAAACCTGACTCACCTATGTTTCTCTAATCATCATCCAATTAAAGTGCATGATCTGTCTAATACTCGAGCAAAGTTAGTTATTGTAGTCATTGAGGTAATTCAAACTTAAAGGCTAGGACAACAATAGTAGTCTTGCATATATCCAAACTATAAACACTTACCAGCAGCAAATCTGATGCAGTGGCTCTAAAGTTTGGTTCCCTGAGAGCACAAGTAGGTGGATATGAGAATCATCAAAGTGAGAAACTAACCAACAACAAAAGCAGAAAAGATACCCTCTTCCGGGGTAGCTCCAGAGCAACTTCCAGTTAAGACCTTAAAAGTCTACTGAACTATATGAAAAAAGGGGACATCTAAAAATTACGAGGAAAAAGACCAGAAAACTTACTTCTGTAAACATTTTAATAGAAAATCTTTAGCCTGAGCAGAGAGATGTTCAGGAATTGGGGGGTGCGATTTGGTCGTCCCGATATGGAAGAGAGCAGCAACCTGAAATATAAATATGTGAAACACCTATTGTTAACATCAATGTTAAATACCGATCAGATTGTAGAAAATGTAAGTTAAAAAAATTCTCTATTTACCTCTTGATATTGCTGGCTCCATGGGGGCTTTCCTGTAGCCATCTCGATGACCGTACATCCAACACTCCATATATCAGCAGAGCTAAGAAATCAAATGGCAAAGTAAACGAGCTATTAAGTGAATCAGCAGACATGCAGAACCAATTTACTAGATAGAAGTGGAAAAGCTCAAGCACACAGAAGCTGAAAATGAAATTGTCTTTCTTGGCAAGGAGAAACCTATAGAAGACCTATAGAAAACAAAGGGAATACATGATACCATTATTATCTATAACATGTTGAGATTAAGAGCACCAACGCTTGAGACAACAGAATAGAAACTTTCTGCTAAGTTATTTGTCTTCTGTCCAAGTTGCGGAGGCGAAAAGCTATTTCTATTTTTTTTTTTCCCCAGTCACCATGCCAAGAGTAGTTAACAAAACCATCCGCAAGAGCACAGGGCATTAGTCTTACAAGCTGTGTCCTGTCTGGAGGATAACTTCCGGTGCCATCCAATATGGAGTTCCCTTCATCGACTTGGCTCCATTTATAGTAGCCTGTACAGAAATAGAACACTTTAGCAATGAACTTCAAGGAGTACATCCTATTTAGAGAATTCAAGAACAAACATAGTATATACCAGTTCAACAACTTTCTTGGAAGCTCCAAAGTCGGCAAGTTTAATGCAACCCTTGTTATCTACAAGAATGTTCGCCCCCTGCACAACAGCTCTTCAGATATTACAAGAACAGCAACGAAAGACGAACTAACAGGGACAACCATCATCCACCCTAAAAGTTCAGATCAAAACTACCTTGATGTCCCTATGCATAATACCATTGTTGTGAAGGTATGCAAGTCCCAGTAACAGCTGTTTTGTATACATTCTGATCACCTGCTCAAAAGTAAGAATCTAAGAAGAGTCTTTCTACAAAATCTGAGAAGTGAATCTTGCAACAAAGGCAGGCAGCGATCACTCACCGACTCGGGAAAGGAACCAAATTTCCCCAAAAGGGATGAAATGGACCCGCCGGGAACAAATTCTAAGAGGATATTCAGTGAGTCGTCTTCTCTAACAGTTCCCAGATATCTCTGATCAACAAAAGGAAGTAGGGGGTTTAATCAATTAACAGTGGCAAAACATCAGCTTGGGAGAGCTGATAAAAGGTAAACACACTCACCACAATGTTGGGATGGGAAAGGTTCTTCAGTAACTTGACTTCTTCTTCCAGCTCTCTAATGTGAGCCTACACCAAATCCAATAAACAGAAACTTTCTAAATAAATAAATCCAAACCCCAACAATTCCAGTTTCCATTGGAGCTACGCAACACAAAAAGAATTCAACAATCAGCCCTCTCTACCTGGGTTTTCTCCTTGGAAGCACTGGTGGCAGCAATCAAAACCTACACACAAAAAAAACCCCAAAACGCCAGAAAAGGAGAAAGTCATGAACTTTGGACCGAACAAGCCAACTGAAACGAAACCCCAGAAAAAGATAGAAGGAGAATCGGCAATTTGTTTTACCTGCTTAACAGCGAGGAGCTCACCGGAATCGAGATTCATCCCCATGTAAACCCTACCAAACGCACCACAACCAATCAATTCCCCCTTCCTCCATCGTATCGAAGGCGCATCGGCATCGCCCTTTCTACCACTGGGCGAAGGAAGCGCCGGAGGGAAGGAGGGCTTAGTGAAGAGGCCGATTCGCGATTTCCGAATGCTGGAGCCAATCTTCTCCACGAATCCACTGAACCCTCCTCCGCCGTCGTCCACTGAAGTCGTCGTGGTGGATTTGAACACCAGCGACCGCCTAACTGATCCGAAAATGTCCTGCATACTCACAACTGCTCGGAATACTCCGTCGTGGCGATGGAGGAGAGGTCGGTGGGGGAATAGAGAAATGGAGGCCGCGGAGAGGGGGGGAAAGTAGCCGTTAGAGGAGGTGAGTGCGGAAATGTCAAAGTGAAGGTTTCAATTGGGGGAGTTAGAATAGAAGTGGAAATTTGAAAGGAGAGGGAAAGAGTACAAAGACAGGAGCGAAGGCGACTCGCTGGTGTTTTCCCCCACTTTTTCTAAGGAATAATTAATGAATTCCATCGAGAAATAATAATCACTAGCTTTTACCGACCCGTTTTGGTCGGGCTGGATTAATTTTTTATTTTATGTTGATCAATTTTTTTAATGTATTTTTGAATATTTTTTGTGGTTTTCTAAAATAGTTAATTCATTGTTTCAAAGTAATATTTATGACATTTTTTTATTATGACATTGGCAGTAATTAGTTAATATGTAATTTTTTTATCAAGTCGTGCTAGTTTACTTTTATGTATACTTTTCACATCTTATAAGCAATTTTTATACTTCTTATTGTCGGTTATGAATTCGAACTTTATATGTTATATTAAATTGGTAGGAACTGAAAGTATATAAAAAATCAAGAGAATAATGAAAAAGTTATGTCTAGAAATCTCAAATATGGAAGAATATGAAAATTAATGTTTATTGTATAAATTTTATAATTTAGTATAGAGATTTGTTTGAATAATAAGTGGGAGATGTTAAGTGTTAGTACTAATGCACATACAACAATAGTAGAAAATCAAAACATTATAAATCATAAATTCTACTCTACCTATACAATCTTTGACTTTTCATGTGGAGTTAATAGCATAAATTGTTTCATTTTTCTCAAATCTATCCCTCTACTATTTTTCACATCAAATATGCTCTCATACTATATAGTATATGTATTATAAAACCTACCCTTGTTACAATTTGTGATAAAATTTTGTTAAATGCGACCGAAATACGGTTGGACTGGTCTGAAACAACATATTAAATTTACCCCCTTTTATGACTATCTTCTCCTTCTGGAACTCCAAATATAATATAGCCACAATCCCATCCTCCATCCGTTCCACTTTCTCTTCCTCAGACCCAACAACAACTAAATACAAAAACTTGTTCGTGACGAAATAATCTTGAAGACTGACATTTGAATTTCAGCCAAAATCTCCAAAAGTTTTCAAGTATTGATTAATTTGACAATCATCAAAATTGGAGCCCAAATTTTTTTAGAATATCTGAATTTCAAAGTATCAAAGGTTGTTAACCCAGTTTAGCTCGTTGGCCCTGTCGAGTAAGTGGGTTGAGGGTCACTGATCCAATCATTTTAGTCTGTTTTTGCCCGGATATACATTATATTGTCATACATTTACAAATGATATAAAATCTCATCTACATATGAATAATATGTTATTTAAGGAATGTCCGTACAATCTACATTTGTTTCTCTGTCTGCAGACTTGACTCAACGGATTTAGCTTACTAGTTCGAAGAGCGGGATTGAGAACGGGAGCGTAAGAGTGTATATTTTTTTAGAATTATAATTTGAGAGAGTCTGACATAGCGTGAATATTATATTATTGGTTCTTAATATATCATTTAACTTACTAACATGTTTTGGTCAAAATATCACAACAATGCCGAGGAAAAATAAAAATAAAAATAAAAATATTTTAGTAGGATAATAGATTTAGATAATCTGATTAGGCCGAAAAAGGAACATACTTCAAACGTTGAATAGAATCTCCCTCAAAGTTTACTATATTTGTTTTTAGTTTGTTATTGAAGTTTTAGTTTTATTTTATTTAAAAGGAAAATAGAAATGAATGCATCATTTATCCACCCCCATCCACTCAATTAGTTGTTAATAACCCGGTCCATTGACCGAATTACTTTAAATTATCGACAGGAACAGGAAAGAGTGTAAGAATGGAACACGTTTACTTTCCGAGAATTGTAAATTCAAAATGTTGATAATAATTTTTAATTCAATATATACATCCAGGTCAAGAATAAAATCACAAAATTAATAGCTCTTTCGAAAGATTTGTTACCTACTTTATACATAAAATTGTCTAAATTCGAACGATTTGTTACCTATACTTCTCATTCGCACACAACAGAAACGAAGGCATCGTTTACTGCTTTCTAATAAGCTCTTTCCAACTGAAGGTTCCTAGTTTAAGGCCTATTGACAAACGCGCATACCAAATATCATGCCCATCATAAATTTAACTGTGACAAACGTCAAAACAAACACACACAAAAATATTAACAGGTCCCTCACTCTAATATCTCATGTTCATGGTTCCTTTTATCTGGTTGATCAATACACTCAACCAAAATCTGAAGTCCAACTGGGTGAAAAAGCACAATGAAAAAGAATAGATAGAGACGTGTAACTCAACACAAATCAAAAGTGCAACTGGGTGAAGAAGCATAATAAACGATATACACATCGCCGGTCTCATTTGAAATCCAACATCAGCAGTGAAGAAAGACGATACCATGTCCTTTATGGATCCAACAATCAGTCCTCTTGTTATGCAAGGCACTCTCGAATTTACTGTAGAGTGTAGACTCTGTATACCTGAGAGAAGAAAGACAGAGACACATAACTTATTCAATGGCTAAGTGAACACCAATGACTTATCAAACTATAAACACTAAAAAAATTAGCCCGCTTTGCTGCAGAAGAGGCCAAGTAACAATTCTATTAATATTGAAATAAACTGCAATCAATTTGATACCTGAGTTCCATTTCATGATTTTTTCGAAACATAAATAGAAACAAAATAAAACAAATGGGATGAACAAAATATTGAATATTCACAAAGCACACTGAATATAACATTCTCTTGATGATGAATCTATTCGTCCATTTGAGGTGGCGGAGGCAATATAAGGGAACTTTCCACTCATTTGTAAACCATTCACAAACCTTTAAAGATTGAGTGCAATACAATTCTGGCGAGTGAGTGAAAACTGCTTAGCTTTCTAACAATTTTCACTCATTTGGCCCATTATGTGATACAGTGATAGGCGGATTGCTATTTGAAATATACATCGAGTATAAAAAAACAAATAGTATTGCTTTTTGTGTTCCCTTTCCCTTCCCTCCTTAAAAAATTGGAATCACTGGTTAACTGCCAACATTCTAATACTGCAATAGAATGAGAATTAGTAGCTTATGAGTACAAAAATACAAAGCATATGATTTGAATAATTCAAGCATTTTAATCTATTATTGTTGCTTGAACTTGGAAACGTCAATTATGATCATTGAAAAGTCCACAAGAGAATTCATGTAGCTGTTCTTCAGTAAAAAATTAACCAACAAATCTGCAGACAACCACTTAAATCAAGATGGAAAACACACGAAAGACACCAAACCTTTAAAAGAAATGAATGTCTGAGTGGAACTCCTCCCCAAACCTCAAGCCTTCTGCAACTTGCAAGGCAGCTTAACCATTCAAACCTTTACAACATAACAGACAGTAGTATATTAGACTGCCAAAAGGCCTAACAACAACTCTCTCGATTGATTCCCAAACTGCAAACCTTCGGCTCCCATGTCCTATTTGTACAAATTAGAACGTCCCCAACACAGAGGACTCACTCAGCAACCCAAAGATAGCATAAGATGAACATGATGATGATGTTGTTGCTTCTCTAAACCACGCAATAGAAGACCAGCAACTACTCAAAAAGGATTATGCGAAAAAGCTCCTCCATGTCCATCTCTTATTCAGCTAAAAATGAAATGACTTCTGCTTGCTTACTTACAATGACAAAACTCTCATGGGGCATTTACATACAAAAACCAGCCCCTTCCTTCTCTTATGGATAATATATACAACAACCAAAAAAAAGGGTTCGTTTGATCTTACCTCTCAAGAGAAACTCTGAATAAACTAAAAAGCCTGCTTGCTGCTTTGATGTTGTGCTTTTCGTTGCTAAAATCTCCTCGAATTCAGACTCCTTATTCCTTTCCAAGCTCCAATCGCGTACGACGGTACGACCCTGAAATCTGGGCAGAGAGGCTTTGATTTGACTTCGAAGTAGGTCAAACTCTAAATCCACAGAACGTTGTGATGGTGGTCGAAGTGATATTATTCTGATAATCTGATACATCGTTTCTCGATTTCAATCACGGACGATTACGTTATCTGGCTGGCCCATGGCCACTCATCCTTTTGATTCTGCAAAGAGTCTTGGATTTGACTCCAAGAAGTTCGATTGCATAGTGCAGAAATGAGGAGCAAGGGTCTTCACGGAGAAAATGGGAAAATTGGAAAAAGGATATAAAGGAGAAGAGAGAGAAAACAATTCTGTCACCCCAAACTACCCCTCCGACAATCACTCAGGAGGCAGAGATTTTTGAATTGGGCTTGCAGTATTAACTTTCAGCTATTATATATACCGTAAAAGATTAAGTCTCGGAAGAAGATATTGATTAATTAAGGCCATGTTTGGTTGGCTGGTTATTCGGCTGAGGCTCCCTGTGCTCTGTGTTTTTCTTCTTTCCGCCGTTTTGTTTTGGTTGGATATTTTTGAATCTAGTAAAAATTAGGGCTCGTTTGCTTGTTGGATTTGAAAATGAGGGTTTTGAGTTTTAAATTTTTTTGAATTTATGATGGATTTGTTGCATTATGGATTTGGAAAAGTACATTGTTTGTTTAGTTCATTTTTATTATGGATTTATGATGGATTTGCTTCACAACTTTGTCTTCCATCATCAAATCCCAAATGAAATGTGGGATTTGCAAATCTATGGGGTCCACGGATTTGGATCTAAAAAATTATCTAAATCTATGGGCCACACGGATTTGTGTCCCTTAACAAACGAAAGGTTTGTGCTTCTTGATGCTTGAAATTTGGATGTTATATCCATCACCCAAATCCCACAAGCAAATGAAAAGGCAAACGGCACTAGGAAATAGGAATTTACTAGTAGGAAGAGAATAAGACCAAACGCGGCTAAGCCAAGCCGACAACGTCAGATGGACAGGGACAAGAAGGAACGGAGAGGCCCATTCAGATTATTTTTCATGCATAGGCCCATTCAGATTTTGGTTTTGGATCTAGACAATGAACAATTCAACATTAATTGACAACATGCATTACAAGGTGAAATATATTAGGGGTGGTTTGGAAGTTGTGATTGTTAGAGCTGTGTTTGTTGAATACATGTATTGTACATAATACAATGTTTGAAAGTGTCAAAGTGTAAAACAATGCATGCATTGTTTTAGGTAGGTCCCACCAACAATCACAAAAAATGATGCATATACAATCTCAACTAAAAGTTGAGATTGTTGTGATTGTTGCTTTTAGATTTGTGTCAACTTTTTCTTTCCATTTTTATTCCTAATAGTTTTTGTCTTATACTAAAAGTTGAGGATAAATATGACATTTCCCCATAAAAGTAACTTTATGTAAATCAATGCATAAAGTAGAATTTCAACAACCAAACAATGTATTGTTAAAATGTATCCATTGTATCAATACATGCATTTATTATATTATGGTGATTCATTACAATGCAACAATTTAACATTCGCAACTTCCAAACGACCCCTAAAGTTAAACAAATTCAATGTTAAGTCATTATAATATGCTCCAAAAAGCAAAATCATACAAGTAGGCTCAAAGCAGCCAATATCTTAGACAAAAATGGTTTGGATGTTATAAAAGGAGTCACTAATTGGCTCATTTCTTTTTTTGGGCTGGGCGGCTACCATGATATAGATAAAGGTGTTTGAACTAGTATTTATGAAATCGTATCGTACTGGAGGTCTGAGCGAAAAACTTTTATATCGGAGCCCAATTTGGTATAGGAGTTTCACCGATATGAAACGCATGAACCATTGTTTAACCTTAAAATACCCTATCATTGACTTATTTGGTAAAACCTCCGATGCGTTCACATAATCTTTCGTTTAAACGGGCTCATATCATTTGATTATTTCCTCGTCAGATTAATGCAATTATATTGTTTACATCTTCGTCAAATAGTGAGAAACTTTTATCGGATATCTCCGAAGAGAACATCATGTCTGCGCTGGGGAATGTATATGGAGTTGGCTACTATTCGTGGCGGTAAACCATTGTTTAAGCATAAAGAACTCTATCATACAACATAGTATAAAATTTGTAATCTTTGATTTAAACAGACTCTGGTCGTTTGATATTTGCTGATTGTCGGATTAATGCAATTATACTGTTTACACCTTGGTGAAATAATGACGAATTTTTATCGGGTATCCAAAAGGGACGATTATTTCAGAGTCTGGGGAAAATGAGACGAGTCTTGTGTTCAAAGCGTACATGCTTTGTGAGCCTAATGCTCGTCATGGCAAATTTGGCTGTGGCCTTGCCATTAGGGGTGGCTATACGGTACGATCCGGTTAAACTGGCTCAATTGATCTGGTCTCAGTCCGGTCTTTTCGAGAATATAAGGACCAAAGATTTAATTGGATACAGTCCGGTCTTGATCCGGTCCAATTTTGACTCGGTCCGGTCTCAATTCGGTCTTGATTTTAGATTGAGATTGTGGATATTTTAGTGGAGTTGTGTGTGTTGGGCTCTCTTATCCGATCTTTATCAGGTTCTGATCCGTTCTCGAACGATTTTTTACCTCAAAGCTAAGACCGAATATGAGATTGGATTGTTTGTTATCCGGTCCCGATACGGTCTCGATTCGGGTTATACGATCCGGTTTCGAATAAAACCAAAAAACCCGAACCAAATAGCCAGCCCTACTTGCTATCCCTAGATCTGCTCTTATCTATAACATTACATCCTTTGTAAACTAAAATTTAATTTACTATAAAAAGAAAGAGAAATCCTGGTTCAAACTCAAAATAAACCAATTGTTATATGCTGATGAAAGAAAGTAGTTTTTTTTTTTCCATAATGGAAACTGTAACTAAACAGACCCACAAATCCTAAAATTTGTGACGAAAATCCAACATATGAAGTCAACATCCAAGTATCATTTACACATCCATTTAACTAAAACAAATGGCAAAAGAAGTAAATTATAGGACAAAAATGAGGGTAGGTAGTAGGTACTAAGGAATTAGAAATACACGTGTTTGCTTGCCTGTCAGTCCAAAACAAATGTAACCCTAAACCTAAGCTGCCAAAAGAGAAGAGAGATGTCGTTTACTTGCTTGATACATTGTTCATTGAGCTTTTGGCTTCTGAACCTTCACGTAAGGGAGACACCCCAGGGCATAGACGACTCTAGGGTTCCACCCTAATTGCTCTGCGCGGCAAAACATCAGGAACGTGTTCGCAAAGTACGAATTGAAGCCCATCAAGGCATGCCACACAGCATGCCCTTGGGGATTGAACCGCCACTGCGAAACCTCAGCACATAATATCCGATCCGAAAGCCAACACAGTGTCGCCAGGAATATGGTGGCCACATACCACTTTGCCAGCCGTTTTGCATCCACGTCCTTCGTGTAGATGTAGTACTTGTACATCCTGGGAATGCAGAGGAGACACAAGACTGCATAGTGCACCTTGAATCCGATCCCAAAGCGCATCAATGCATGGATCATGGCAAACCCTGCTCCGTAGAAGAATAAAAATGTAGGCATTGTACTCCTGTAGTGCCAATCTGGAGAATAGAGGATGTAGAAGTACAATAGCATTTCCCAAACCATTGGTGTTTCATCACCTTGCTGTTGCCTGCAGAAAACTTTTAGCAGCATGAGTTTTAAGTCAACAAAAAAAGCAAATTCCAAGTGAAAAAACAGAACTCAACTAACCTACATTTAGATAGAAAAAACAAATTTTACATCATTCTACAGGAGACAATGTCAGACATGGGGGCTTAACATATGCTCTCTCAAGCAATCTAAACAAGAAGGTAAAAAGCACCATTGTTTAAATGCTGAAACAGACTAACGATGGGACCCTAGCAGACATTGATTAGCATCCTTACAGTAGACACAATACCAGTGCAGTCCTCAGTTACTAGCATAAGTCTATTAACTACCCACATGGGAAACTAGCTTGCACTGCTTCACTTACATTGTTACAATCCACCAGAAATAACTGATACTAAACTATACTATAGATCTTGAAGAACACTGGCAGAAGGATAGAATACTTACACATGTCGTAATGTTGCATGGTACATCATACTCCCAATGGCAAGTATAATGTTGGAAATATGCAGCACACTGAACCTCTTCTCAAACCTCTGGCTTAAGGCACTTACGAGGCCAATAAATGCCAAAACAATGCTTGGAACATTTGATACAGTATTGAAGAATTCTGCGATGTACGATGAGTGGACATAGTTTTTCTCACACCAATCAGTTGATGTTACAGGACCCCAAAAATTTGATATTGATTCTGCCATTGACCAACTTTTTGGTCAAAGAATCTCTGTGGAAACTTTTATGGTGTATGTTTTGCTACTTATCTTGCATAGGCCATAACCTGCAAATTTGTTGCAGTGCCAGATCAGGAGAAAAGATAAGATTGATAAAGAATGATCGCAAAAGTAAAACAACTACGACAATCACCATTACCAACAAAGTCCATCTGGAAAGCATTGAACAAAAAAGAACCGCAACCTCGATCAGACAATTCTGGCATCTAATGACCAACAAAGAATGAAAAACTGAAAGTTGCAGAAGAAATAGAACCAGTTGATATGAATCTATAAACACTTAAGACAATCCTCGAAAATTCAGGGTGCTTCAAGGTACAATTGGATTCCTCTAAGGCAAAACCGTCGCCAAATAAGTCAACAGAATGCTGGATCTAAACTAAAGCAATGAGAATCACCCATGGAAATGCAATTTCGAGCATCAGCAAAAGCGAATTCCGGGACCTCACAACCCCGATGACGTCGGTGAGTAAATTGAATATCCATTCTCGCACGATCTATTCGTTTAAGGAAAGAGGGAAACCGCAAAGCTGACACAACTCTATCCCTTCCATTCAAAGAACACCAAGTCCAAGACGACGATCGCTCTCTCTCCCGCAAACACCAACCCACTCGATTCCTGCAGTTCCCCAGACGGAGACCGAAACGAAATTGAAGATTTCAAGCAGGCAAGAAAAAAAAGGTACCTGAAGCAAAGATGCACAAGGCCTGTAGCTCGCTTGCACCAGTATGCAAAGCCGAAGACACAAGACAGGGAGTTGGGAGCTCTAGGGTTCTTGAGCCGAAGATCACCGCTACCAGTTCATCAAAGCGAAGGAGAAGATCTAGGGCTCTAGAGCGAAAGTTCTTTTTTCCCTTAAACTTTAAACGAAAATTTCTATGGCCCTTATTTAGTTATGGAATCAAGTAATTGTAATATCAGCCGTTGGATGATGCATTCTTTTTGTTTTCTCGAAAAATGATTATGGACGGGCACTGTCGGGATTGGGAGGAATTAGGAATACATTAATGGGCCCTCCAGGCCTAAAACTGAGCCACGCAGCTCTAGCTTAAATATCAAGCCCATTAATCAGACTTTTTAATTTGTGAAAGACGTGTGCAAAGTAGCACGCAAATCAATGACCTCTAACTCGTATTATTAATTATACGAGGTTTCAAAATTCGATTGCCGGATCAAGAACCGGTAGAACAGTTCAAACCATTTACGAGCGGTTCAGTTCATTGAACAGTTATTGATCGATCAAACAATTTTTCAAGGTGTAAGGTAAAATTAGATGAATTCCCACTCCATTATTGTTAACTGGTTCACTAGCTCACTATTTTAGCTACAAATTTTTTTAAAAATTACTTTAACCATCAAACGAGAGAATAATAAATTTTATTTATGCTTTCTCTTCTCATTTTTCAACCTCGTTATCGACTTTACGTGGTTCATCACCAACTGGCACCGTAATTTTTAACTTCAATTAAAAATTATAATTACTTTTTCAAGACAGTTTGAATAATTTGTTAGATATTTTGATGATTTATGGTCAATGATAAAATCATGGGTTAATACCTTATTTTGGCCCGAACTATGACCATATAATCAACTTTGGCCCGTGGTTTCAGAAATTAACATCCTGGCCTCAACTATGCAAGCATTTAGACTCAATTGGCCCGACACATAGTTTGACCGTCAATTTGGACGGTCAACTCCGTTGACCGTTAGTCAACACGCCATGTCATTGCCTAGTCAGCCTAAAAATCATTAAAAAATACAAATGCAAATTATTTTCTAATTTTTCTTATTTATTATCAAATTAACTAAAAATAAATTATAAAAAACATAAAATAAATTTGATTTTTTTATGTTTTGGATAATTTGAAAAATGATAAATTTATAAGTTAACAAAAAATTATCAAATTATTTTATATTTTTAAAAATTCCCACAAAACTATAATTTATATCATAAATTTTAAATTTATAAAATTTAATTTGATAATTTTTGGTTAATTTATAAAATTTATCATTTTCAAATATCCCAAAAAAATTATTTATATTTTTATAATTTTATTTTTTGGTCAATTGGAAAATGATAAATAATAGAAATTAGGAAAATAATTTTAAATTTTTAATGATTTTTAGGCTGACTAGGCAATGACATGACATGTTGACTAACGGTCAACGGAGTTGACCGTCCAAATTGACGGTCAAACTATGTGTCGGGCCAATTGAGTCTATATGCTGCATAGTTGAGGCCAGGATGTTAATTTCTGAAACCACGGGCCAAAGTTGATTATATGGTCATAATTCGGGTCAAAATAAGGTATTAACCCTAAAATCATTCTTAAATTACTGCAATATACAAGTCTTACATGTTATATATCATGACTGGTTCTATCAACGGTTCTTTAACAGTTAACCACTGAACCCTAAACTATTAACTTTTCTGGTTCAGTATTCAATCCGGTTATGAAACAGAGGAAATAACTAATTATATACTCAGCCTTCTGACAATTCGTTAGATAATTTTAAGTTAACTATTATAAGTTATAATAGAAGTGAGTATCGGGACGGATCCGAATGCATTCATATAGACTTTTAATGATTTTGGGTTGGATTTAAATTGGGTCCACCTTGGGCTGAGTCCAATTTGGATTGGACCCAAATGAATGTACTTAGGTCCACATGATTGCACACACAAAAAGAATGTTAATGTGACTTGAATCGGACTATCTAGCTACCACTGTAAGTCAATAGTATCTCGTCGTATGAGTTCAATGTTACTTGGGTTTTTGTTCTGGGCCTCGTTTGTAACCATTTTCCTTTACCAAATTGAATTAGGGTTAGACCACATGGAGAAGTACTATTAATACTTCTCTATAATTTGTATCTTCTCAAAGTATATTGAAACAGGCTCTCTCCTGCCGGTGGACTAGCTACACACTATGTTAGTGAATCACGTAAATCCGTGTGTCGTGTTCGTTTTTGCTTTCTTTATTTTTTGCTTTGTCGTTCCTCCTATTTTCCTATCCGCATAGAAACATTCATGACAAAGGAAAATATTGACTTTCTCATTAACCGTCTTCAATCAAATTACACTTTTAATGTTGCTATTTTCACCTTTCTATTTGTTGCATAACAAAATAATAAGATAAAAACTATATTAGAATTGGATATCCATTTTCTTTCAGGCACCCAATAATATAAGTGCAATTTTGACGCAAACTAAACAATTGGATATGAATTTACGCCTAAAGTAAAATTTCTCAAATTTGATTTGACTCATAATAAGTTGGTTTTGGACAATACCAAAATATTGAGTCTCTTTCCATTCTAAAGGGGAAAATAGTTAGAATTCTCTACCCAAATCCCTCCCAATGCAACACTTTAGTGAAATCACCCTACAACAAGAGAGCTTTCTTTGTCACTCTATATGCAATCCCGTTCCTCCTAAAAACTATACAAAGAAAACACAAAATCAACAACTAAAGACAACTGCCCACCGAATCTTCAACACAACTACTGTGCTGACGGATGAACACTTCAGAATTTTCTTCAATAATGACACTAGGTGGACTCCTTGAAATTGCTAGTGAGATGACGTCCTTGACAGCAAGCAAGCAACTCTTCAATCGTACAAGAGTCATATTCGAGATAAAACTACCAAGACATCTTCCTAGTTATCACGGAGCACCCTTCTCGCCCTTGCCCACTCATCTTATGTGCGAAAATTCCATAAATACAATCCATTCGTGATCTTTATATATTTTAACTTTTAACCATCTTTTAAAAATAAATACTTCTAAATTTTCGATTGAGGCTGATTATAGAATTTCTTCTAATAATCTGTCCGTTGTCTTCTCATCTCTACCTCAAGCTCCTGTTTCCACCTTCTCTGTTGTTCGGATAGCCTTCTTTCAACGGTTGGCGGCGGCGAGCCGGTGGAGTATTTTCTGGTGTTCCCGCTACGCGGATATAGTCGTAGCATACCGAGCTCTTCGTCAAGCTCCTCCTTCCATCTCCTACGCTGATCGCCGGTAGGCGCCGGGACCGTTTTCGGCCCACCTACGACATCATCGTTGATTTTCTTAGGCACAATTCCAAGATTGCTTCTGAAATTCTCCAGCTCATCGTCGAGCTCTTGCTTCCACATCTTCCTTTTCTCTTTATCGAAGTTTATAATCGACTGAATCTCCGGCAAAACTCGACCGTAAAATTGGTTTCTATCGGCAAGCTCACCCATTTTTTTTTTTTTTTTTAATTGGGATCGCAAAACTGAAACCCTAGTTCCTCAAAAACCCAAACAAATTCAGTGCAGGAGAGGAGAGGACAGAGTAAAATAGATCGCTACACTAATTCAGAGGATACCCCGACTTCCTCGTTTAAGGGCTGATGAAGGTTTATTTATAAATAGAAGAGTGGCAGTCCTAACTCCTAAGCCAAAACGGAAAGAGAAAGCTATTAAGAAAGAAAACCAATGAAAATTGAAAAGATAGGGATTGGAATTGGGAAGATTCCCGATTAGGCGAGTAATCCTCCCCAAACACAGGAATCTCTAGTTTCCTACAGACGCCGTTAACCTGGGTAGTTGACGCCGTCAACAGACAGCGGCTATGAGGCTGACTGGGTCCTTTCCGATTCCCCAAAAGATCATCCAGCCATACATGAAACAGTACAGGCTCTACTCGCTGCCATGGCTGCCCAGTAACTAGGTAGTAAGACGAACCAACCAACCCATGACCTGAAAAAAGAACCACAAACACAAAATTACCTTCTTGGAAAAATATTTGGTTGGGCGGTTCATGAGTTGGCGCTGAATTCTTGTGGGAAAGGAGGCAGCTACAGCAGGTAGTAGAAGCAAGAATGGGGGTTGATCTGGAGTCGTTGTCGGACGCCACTTCAGGAGCCATAGCTGCTCTCGTCAGCACGACAGTGTTGTACCCTCTCGACACCTGCAAGACCAAATTCCAAGCCGAGCTCCGAGCTCGCCACCAGCGCAAGTACAGGTAATCCTTCCCTTACTCCGAACCCTTTCCCATTTTTTCCGACGAATTCAAGGTTGCCCATATCTCATTTATGGGAAAAGGCTCCATCTTTAGGCCAGGGTTGGGGGTTCAACTCTTTAAGTGGAGCTGCCTTGGACCGTAATTAGGACTTTTGTGCAGAAACGTTGCTGATGTGTTTTGGGAGGCAGTGCGTACCCGTAAGGTTCTTTCATTGTACCAAGGGCTTGGGACGAAGAATTGGCAGGCATTCATTTCCTCCTTTTTGTATTTCTATGGCTACACTCTCTTCAAGAGGCTCTACTTGGAGAAAACTGGCAAGATAGCCATGGGGCCAAAGGCTAATTTAGTGATTGCTGCTGCTGCTGGGGCTTATGCTGTGGCATTGACCATGGTGATTTGTCCTTCCCCTTATATATGTTTGTTTTGCACCATCCTTTTTTAAGCCAATTTGGGATATGAGCTGCGAAAACTGTGTTACAGCCTTTGGATACAGCAGCTTCTAGGATGCAAACCTCTGAATTTGGTAAATCGAAGGGATTCTGGAAAACCCTTTCGGAGGGGACTTGGGCTGAGGCATTCGATGGACTCGGGATATCATTGCTTCTCACTTCCAACCCTGCGATCCAGGTGAGACCTCATTCTCTGGTTTTTTGTCCACGGGACAACTGCATTTGCTATTTGGGTTGGTTGATGATCAAGGAACGGTTCGTTTTGCTGCAGTACACTGTATTTGATCAGTTGAAGCAAAGGCTATTAAAGCAGAAGCTCAAGGAGAGATCAGTTGCTGCAGATGCATCTCCTGAGACGCTTTCTGCCTTCACTGCTTTTGTACTTGGCGCTGGTGCTAAGTGTATTGCCACCACCTTCACCTACCCTGCAATTAGGTAGGCAAAATGCTCAAAAGCTTCTCTCTGACTTCTTACTTGACAATTACTAAGTTGGTAGTATTTGCTGCAGGTGCAAAGTGATGCTTCAGGCTGCAGAATCAGATGAGAACGGAACTGCAGAGGTTCTACCAAAAGACAAGAGAACAATCTCAGGCGCCACAAGTGCCATCTGGAAACGAGAAGGTTTGTCGGGTTTCTTCAAAGGATTGCTAGCACAGCATGTGAAGACAATACTTAGTTCTGCACTGCTGCTGATGGTCAAAGAGAAGATCACAAAGACAACATGGATCCTTATATTGGCACTCAGGAAGTACCTGTTCATCCAACACACCAGCATAAAGAAGGCTTGATTGCAGTTTTACCTGGCTAATTTGCATTTGTTGTGGCTGCCATCCTGCAGTTTGTTATTGAGGGCATTAGTCAGTTGTGACAAGTTACTATATATGTCTCATTAATCTTGTTCCGAACTCTTCACATCCATAATACAAAAGATGCATATTTTGTAGCAAATAAGTTTTCTTTATTCTGGTTAGTTTTGCTCTCAAGCGCAATGATTCAGACCAAATCCTATTGAATTGTTTATATCCAGTCAAACAATGCTAAACATAGTTTGATTTGGTTTTGAAATTCCATTGATGTTCCTAAAAATAAAGGGAAAATAGATCACATCTAAACTGGATTGGATTGAATAGGCTCCAATGCAATCTTGATTTCATTCCAGAACTAATTGTTTCTTTGTTTTTTATCCGGTTTTAGTCCTACTGGGTTTGATTCTGGATTTGACCGGACCATAGGCCAATCCCCTAATTCAAATACATTAAATAAATAAATACAGATTCTAAAACGGATCTTGGTCCTTCATGATAGAAATTGTATAGATGTTCAATCTAAGATGTGCTTCATGATTCCATTACACAAACAAGCTACAAAAGAAAATCTCAATTTCTCCAAAAAGGGAACAGTGTAACTCAGTTGAACTTTATATGTGAACAGAAATTTGCCCTCAGAAGATGAGGTAGTAAGTAGTAAGTAGATGGACATCCAGGCAAGGAAACCTCGTTTACAGCAAAAGTAAACATGCTACCAGCAGAAGCAGCATTGGAGAAACCAGACTGGCAGCAGTGACCAAACCAGCCGACACACTGTCAGAAGAAGCTTTGACAAAGCTTCCCTCAGGAGTGCTTGTGGTAAGAACCACAACCATCCAGTTACCTTCAGAGCCAATGCCGACTCCTGTATACTTGGTGTCGTTGAGACTATCGGAGTACTGACTCAAGGTGAAGTTGCTAAGCACGAGAGTTGGGTCCAAGTTGGGGATACAAGCAGGCATTACAGCTCCATCCCTGGTGTTAGAAACATTCAGATGGCACTTGTCCAGAAGCCTTGGGTAATTGGGGAGCTGAGGCTCGGTTCCTGGCACAGTGTTGGACCCGGAGGTGTTGGTGCAAGGTTGACCCTCAAATTGATCGGCTATTTCCCCAGCAAGGCAATCTGCATTGTCGTTCTTTGTTAGAGCGGTGAGATTCAGGGACCTTCTGTAGTCATTGATGCCCTGAAGAAGCTTATCCTCCTCATCTGCGGATTATGTAACGAACAAATGTATCAGAAACTTCCATACAAACTGCATACTAGACATTTAAGTCAGTTAAAGGAGCTGAATTATATCAAACAAACAACTTGAGATCAAATGTCATATGAGAGTAACATGTGACTGAGGGGCAAGCAAACTGGCACTTCGACCAACTATGGATCAAGGTCAATCAAGCTTACATCTCCATTCAGAATGCCCAAAACTTTGAGGCTATCTGGAGTTCATTGGTCAGACAAACTGAAGGCAACGCAAAAAATACTGAGGCCAACTAGATTACTTGTGATTGAAGGAGCACAAAAGAAGGCTGGAATAAGAAACCTTTCAAACCATAAGAGACCTGGATTTCAGCTTTAACAGTGGGAAATGCCTAATCAAGGTAAGTTACTTATTCATTAGAAGCATCTTCAATCTAGTAAGCAAAACCCAAGCCAAGTGCCAATCATCCGTCAACCCTCTAATTAGCAAAAAAACAACGGACACCCAAATCAATCGATCACGATTAGAACTTAGATCTCGTCCACCATCACTAACATTAACAGAAGAAAGAGCAGAACGAAAGCAGACAAAAAAAGATCTATTTTTCAAGCTGAAACTTCAACTCTCAAGAACATGGTTCAAAGAATGGGAAGGAGAATAAGAAAAGGAAGTAATAATAAAGCAAAATGCTTACCACATTGAGCTGGGTGAATGGAGAGAAGGAAGAATGCGAGGAGGAGGAAAAGGGGAAGCCTTGGCATTGTCGGCGGCGAGTGGCTGCTGCTGAATGAGCCGAAATCAAACGAGAAAGAAGTAAAAGAAGAAGAAGAAGGAAATGGGCGGTGGTTGATGGGTTAACTAAAGGGCAGGAAAGGGGTTGCTTTCTGATACTTGTTGCTGCTTTTCTTTCTGGTGCGGAGGCTTTGTTGTTGCTCTGCAGCTAACCTGACTGACTATTGCCCTCCATTTCTTTAATCCGAAGCATCTTCCAGATTGGTTGCCACGAAGACGAAAGGGAAACACGACGTCGTTTTTCGATTTGATCTCGTCCTATATTTATCTTCACGAGTCACGACTCTTCTTCTGGAAAGGTGGAAACGATGGCGTCTCGTGGCGATGCCATTGTCCAGTCACAAGTCACAAGACAATTAATAAGAAAGGTCTGACCTTTTTGTGTTCCCCACTTAGACCGGAGCTTCCGTGATTGTTGAGATGGTGGGAAGAAGAGGGAAAATGAGTTGGGTGCGGTTGGAAATGGCGATAGGATGAGTGATGCAAAATCATGAAATTGAGGGTGACGGTCCTTTAAGTTGAGTAGAGTAGATTTTTAGAAATCGTGCTCTAAAGGTCAAGTCATCAAGAGAATTCATGGAAAGATAATAAGATATTGGTTACGTTTGAGCCCATATGTGCTAGGTGGTATGAGTCCCATTGAAAAGCTGATACGATTTTCTTTAGGAAAATGCTTGCTGATATACCTGCAAAAGAGGGTTTGTGACTTGTGAGCGTGGACTTGGGACGCTTCCTTTAGGGGTGGACAACGGGATGGGACGGGATACTCGTTCGGTTTTAAACGGGTACCCAGTCCCGTTTGGAGACCAAAGTCCATCCCATATCCCAAACTCATATGGGAAACGGGTACCCATTTCTCGTACGGGACGGATAACGGGTACCCATACTACCCATAAATACTCAAAATTTACACCACTAAAATTTTAACAAAAGTTTAAACTTAATTTGTATTTGCTTAACAATCACAAGACACAAAATACATCACAATCACAAATACTCGGCTTGCAAATAACACATTCATAAACAATCACAACACGTAGAAATAAATCATTCCAAGCACCAAATTATTAAATAAGAAGTTTCATTCAACACAACCAAATGGGAGGCATGCTGCTACTTTTCTTGTGTTGCTGAATGCGAATGCAGAAAGTGTCCAAATTTTTAGGTTCATGGGAAGCTAAAATCTATATCATATAAAATAAACTTTATGCAAGCTGGTGGTGGTGCAGTTCTGCCTTCTCCAGGAGGCTGCTGCTGAATTGAAATTGCAAGGGCGAGGGCCAAATGGCAAATGGAATTGAAATTGCAAGGGTGAGTGCCGAAATGGCCAATGGGTTCTGATTTGGAATGGGCTGAAATGAATTTCTGCCTTTGTATTGAATGGGTATAACGGATACCCATATTATCCAAACGGGTATTCACGGGTAACCCGCAGGTACCCATATTAGGAATGTACAATCCCAAGTCCCATCCGTTTATAATATTACGGGAAATATGGGTACCCGTAACCCTTAAAAAACGGGACAGGTACGGGTATACCCAAATACCCGTTTCCCGTTTCCCACCCCTTGCTTCCCTAGCCCAACAGATTGTATTTTTCAGTGTTTCCCTTGGATGTTTTGATTGCGTACATTGCCCTAGGAGGATTATCTCAGATTCTCTACAACACTTGTAAGGCTGTCAGTTGTCTTTTGTTGGGCGAGGGCACCGCATGGGTGGTCTTGTGGATCCTTCGACTGCAAGAGAGTACTTGTACTTGAATTGGTTACAAAATACCTTCTACCTACGTTATCTAGTTCAGGTATCATATAAGCACCTCTGTAAAGCGACCCGAACCCTCCTCACCATTACTTCATGTCGTCGGTTAGATGGAAGTGCTTCGAGTATTTCATCCTTACGAGCACGCCTAGTCGCTTATATGTTGGTTTGGTAGTTGGTTGGTCTCAATTGTAGGATGCCGATTTGGACTCAAACGTGCTCTTTGATCCAAGACATCTCTAATCACTATGGAGTCCACACTCTCCCACACAAACATCTAATCATTTTGTATATTGATGCAACATAAATAAAAGTTTTGACATTGGAACCAACACATCATATGAGATCAAGATGAGTAGCTTCTCTATCATCCATCTGCAAATCGAGATGTCTAAAAGCCCAAAAAAGATCTTTAAGAGCAGGAGCCACTAGCATATTCGTATCCCCTCTAGCAGTCTAGCTTACTCTCCTCTCCTCTCTTCGCTTTGTGTGTTTTCAAAATTTCAGCTCTTGGCTACACTCCAAAATACAAACAAACAAAACCAAGAAAAAAACTGGTGGATGCAATTGAGTTTGGATATGGCACCAATCCTCCAATGGCATGCACCCCACGTCAGCAAACCGAACTCTCCTTCTCCATCAATACACAAACTCCTTAGCATACCCATTCCAATACGAAAAAACACAAGAGGAAAAACTTCCCCTTCACTTCACCATACCGTAAATATCTCCAAACATCCTGGCCGGCCTGCCTAGCAACATGGCGGCAGTGTCAGCAGACTGCCGGTTCTCCCTGACCGCGTCCCACGGCAGCAATGGGCTGGCCATGCCGGCGAGGAGGAGTTCTTCTTCGTCGAGGGTTGTTAAGTTTGGGAATGGAGAGTTCATGGGAAGCAAGCTCAAAACCACACCATCACTGGTTTCTTCTCACAGAAGGAGTTGCTGTAACAAAGTTGCTAAGCAACCTGCAATCATGTCGGTCGCGGCTGATTTATTTGGGTCTAAGGTCGGTCAGGCTAGCTCTCTCAATCACTATTAATGGCGGAATGTGGATTTGGTCTTCAGATTGTTTCTTGATTTTGAGGTGTTGATAAATGTTGGAACTTTGTTGCTACAGTTGAGGGATGTTGAGATGGAGAGAAGGGACCCAAGGACGGTTGTTGCAGTTATTCTAGGAGGAGGAGCTGGTACTCGCCTCTTCCCTCTCACTAAACGCCGAGCCAAGCCTGCTGTAAGTGCTTGCTCATTGTTCCTCTGTTTTCCCTTCAACTGGCATTCGAATATCTTCTTCTCGAAGCAACAAATTGGAGCACTTAGCTATGTATCTTTGTATACCAAGAACTATGAGATTGCCTTCTCGATTTGAGGTACCTTCATTGTTTCTTTTATGTACTGAACATGGCAGGTCCCGATCGGAGGTGCATATCGGCTAATCGATGTGCCAATGAGCAACTGCATCAACAGCGGGATCAACAAGGTCTACATTCTCACTCAGTACAACTCTGCTTCGCTAAACAGGCATCTTGCTCGAGCTTACAACTTTGGCAGTGGAACCAACTTTGGAGACGGCTATGTGGAGGTACACAAATAGCAGAAAATGCATATTTGCCTCTTCTGCAGAAACTAAAGAGATCATGAGAACAAAAACTTTTTGGATCTTGACAGGCGCTGGCTGCAACTCAAACACCAGGGGAGACTGGAAATAAGTGGTTTCAAGGGACTGCAGATGCTGTTCGACAATTCCATTGGTTGTTCGAGGTGAGTTCAAATGAGCAAATGGCACAAAGAGGTCTGACCAGCTTCTGCCACTTCAATTTCCAGCACAATAGAAACTCAAAATTTAGATTTTTTCCGGATGAAATAGGATGCAAGGAGTAAGGAGATTGAGGATGTGCTGATACTGTCAGGAGATCATCTCTATCGTATGGACTACATGGACTTTGTTCAGGTACCTCTATCAACTTGCATTTCAAAAGCAAAACCTCCTGCAAAGAATTTCAGTTTTTCATCTAATGGATGATTGATCTTCATGATTGTAGAACCATAGGCAGAGTGGAGCAGACATCACCATTTCTTCTCTGCCGATAGATGACAAGTATGTGAAGAATCAATCTTGGCCAATGGCCACTGGTTTCAGTCATCAGAGCTTATTATATGATCTGTTAATCAATGAACTTCTGGGACCTTCTCTTTGTGCCTTTTTCATGATAGACGTGCATCAGACTTTGGTCTAATGAAGATAGACAACAAGGGAAGGGTCCTCTCCTTTAGTGAAAAGCCTAGAGGAAAAGAGCTCAAGGCAATGGTAAGTCTTTTACCCTTAGCTTCTCTTTTCTCTCTTGCATTGACTTGCAGAAACAGAAAAGCTGATCAGGGTTGACAAGTAAAAACAATCATATTTAGGCAGTTGATACTACAGTGCTAGGGCTCTCCAAAGATGAAGCTGTAAAGAAACCATACATTGCCTCCATGGGAGTTTACCTCTTCAAGAAAGAGATACTGCTCAATCTTCTCAGGTACCTACTCAGTATCCCGACCTCCCCCCAGGGAAATCAATGGAGGGATATTAGCAGTCAAAACTAATTGAAAGTTCACTGTGATGTTTGGATCAGATGGCGATTCCCAACAGCTAATGACTTTGGATCCGAAATAATCCCAGCTTCAGCGAGCGAGTACCATGTAAAGGTGCAAGCTTTTTGATCCACTGTCAACTACTTTCTCTTTCTAAAAAACATGAGAGGTAACGAAAGAAGTGATACTTACTGGACTATGGCTCTCTTCTCTATAAACAACATTGCAGGCTTACTTGTTCAATGATTACTGGGAAGACATTGGAACTGTTCGGTCATTCTTCGAGGCAAATCTCGCTCTTACAGAGCATGTAAGTTGATTATTGTTTTGTTGAGTTTAGGTTTATTCCCATCTCCCAGAAAAGAGAATTTTCTCATACGTTCTCATTCTTGCAGCCACCGAGGTTTAGTTTCTATGATGCTGCGAAGCCAATTTACACATCAAGGAGAAACCTGCCACCTAGCAACATTCACAAAAGCAAGGTAAAAACACACTTTCTACATGCATTTGATAACGAATGTTATTTACTTACCATTGTTTTTTCTGCGGCAGATCGTCGATTCAATCATCTCTCACGGAAGCTTCTTGACAGACTGCTACATTGAACACAGTGTTGTTGGCATTCGATCTAAAATCAACTCTAATGTCCAACTAAAGGTTGTGTTTCTTTCAAATTCTGAATTCCCTCCTTGCTTAGCCTTTTAAGAGCTGAGACTAAAACATCACAAAAAATGAGTAATTGCAGGACACAGTTATGTTAGGAGCTGACTTCTATGAAACTGAAGATGAAGTAGCTTCATTGGTGGCAGAAGGAAGAGTCCCTATTGGGATAGGAGAAAACACAAAAATCAGGTACAGTTAGCAAGCAGTGACACTGCAGTTGTTCTTTCTTCCCAACGCCTGTTAGGCATTATCCTTTTTCTTCATTTGACTCATGTTAAGTTTTGCTACCCCTTGTCCAGAGAATGCATTATTGACAAAAATGCCCGAATTGGGAAGAATGTTATCATTGCTAACTCAGAGGTACACCTGAGAGCTCCAAAACTTCGTTTACATCAAAAGTATTATTGAGGACTGCTCTGACTCTGCTGTGTATATGGTTCTGTTTTGTTTATACAGGGAATACAAGAGGCTGACAGAACTTCTGAAGGCTTCTACATTCGATCTGGGGTTACAGTTATTTTTAAAAACGCAGTCATTGAAGATGGACTTGTAATATAAATAATAAATTCCTTCACCCTTACAATTCTTTGTTTTTGTTTGAAATGTGAGTTAGCAGAAGATACTGATAAGGCCCAAGTTCCGAACAGTAATACAACATGTTAAGTTCTTTCTGATCTACTAAACCGATAGAATATCAAATCTTTTTCTCCACAAGAAAAAGACGAATTAGAGTACGGAAAATGTATGCAACAACTTGATTCCAGAATAAAAGGGCCAACACTTGAATCAAATGATTACTTCTTCGCAGTTAAACATCAGTTCGTTCTCATATCTTTGCAAAACGAATCGCTCCTCCAGCACAATAATGTTGGTAACATTACATTTCTCATCTGAAAAGGGTTTCCTACCTGTTCTTCCAGCTCGATGAAGGTAGTCAACAGCAGTTCTTGGTAGATCAAAGTTGTAGATATGAGTTGTTTCAGGCAGGTCCACTCCTCTTGCAGCTATATCTGTTGCTACAAGAAGATAACCTTCCCCTTGTCTCAATTCCTGTATTCCAGGGGCAAATCGTGTGAATTTCTTTAGCAAACATGGTTCCCCGAGTCAATCCTACATTAAGGTTGCACTCCCAATCATTCAAAATGAAGATTACTACAAATTATACTTACTGAAAGTGAAGCTGCCCGAGAATTGAAATTCATGTCCTCCTCCAAAAGCAGGACATCTGAGCTACCTCTATAAGAAGTATTCAAGAAAACAACTAGAAGAACAGTTGATGCAGCATTCCCAGCCTTTTTTGACTTCTCAGACTGCATGAGGAACAAAGAAGATAAACAAATTCATGCTTAAGAGTAATTATCAAGAAATAGTTGCATATAGTAGACCAATGGACTGTATACACAAACCTGTTCACCAACAAAAACAATTGCCGACGTGGGGGCATCAGAATGTAACAAGGAAAGCAGAATTGCATGTTTTTGCTTTTTAGTGCATACCTGTGAAAGTGACGCAGTATTAGGAAAGACCCAAAGATCACTCATTCAGACAAGGCCATTGATGACATTCAAAAGAATTCTACTTACCACAAATTTGTGTTGCAAGCAGGATGGCAATGGCTTAATGGCATTGACATGCACATGGACCACATCTCTCTTTAAGTAAGCAGCAGAGTAGCAGAACATCAGTGAACTTACTGTGGGAAAGCTGATCCTTTTTTGGCAAGTATTTTTAAATAGAACTATGACCAAAACAGACCTTTGTCCACTTCTGTTGTATGTAGTCATACAAATCGTTTGTGCTGCGGGATGGTTGCACTAGCAAAAACAGTTTGACGTTCATTGCTTGATGAATACGATGTCAAAAGCTTTTTAAGGGAACTGACTTGCTTCGAAGAGTTAACAAGAAATCTACCTAGGTCAAAGAACAAATGTAGAGATTAGCTCTAAGGAATCAACTTTGTGATCCATTTGAAAGTACAAACAGCCTACCTCATCTATAACCAGAACCTCCAGCGCATCAAGCTTAAATATCTGCTTATCAAGCATTTGGCACAAACTCGCTCTTGTTGCTACCACAACAGTAGGTGGTTCTGCCTGGAAAAAGAAAAATCAGATACTCCCTTCAGCAAATGATTTTCAGATCCATGTACTCACATTATTACATTAAGAGTCATTTGCATCACCTTTAACCAACTCTTATGTCTTCTCAACATCCCTCCATCTAAAAGCGCCATGACAGTGCAAGACGACTTCTCCTCCAATTTATCACCCACAGCCTTTGAAGCCAACATTCGAGCCACTTTTGTGACCTTCACTCATACACAAAACCAAAAAACGCAAGGTATCGGGTATTCTCATTCAGCAGAACCCATGCCAATTCCACAATCCAACAACAACTACAACAAATTTTACTAAAAATGATCACCAAGATTCTTACTTGCATTCCTAGCTCCCGGGTAGGCACCACGATCAGTGCCTGCACAGCTGATCTCCGAGCTTTCAAAACTGAGAATACCAGCAGCAAGTAAGCCAGCGTCTTCCCAGAACTGTCTATGACACCAAAACCCAAACACAGTAGTTTATCCCCATCAAAGAAATGCCAGAAAATCCCTCAAAAACAGTTTCTCTCAATAAGCACATAGCCCAACCTGAGCATGAATTACACAGTCCCGCCCACTAAGCAGAACAGGCGGAGCTTGGCTCTGCACATCCGTCGGCATAACGTATCCAAACCCTTCCGCCCTACACAAAAATCCCTCATCAGCAATCGCCCCCCAAACAAAAAGATTGAAGCTTTACTTTACGCATATTTTACCTGCTCAGCACGTGGTCCGGCACGTGCCCTCGGCAGATTTCACGCAGAGTCGTAACACCGCCGCCGTCGTCTTGTCGTGATTCCCCTTCCTCTCGAAGAACATGAGAAGTCTGCAGAACCGCCCGTAAAGGTTTGAAGTTGAACCACCGACGAATTGAAATCCTGCCAACGATTTGGACCGAGGAAGGAGCTGAGCACTGCCTCGGAATGACAATTGAGCTAGAAATGTGGAGAAGCCGGAGATTCGTGACAATCTCCGTTTCTCTTCCCTCGCCGGGGCAAGTAGATAATAGTCCGGGAATTGCGGGAAGAGCTGCCGACGTGGATAAAACAGTGGGACCCATTTATTAATTAGGGAGAAAAATGAAATCTTTTTAACCTTTCTGACGTGATCTTCGGGTTCGGAGGATGGGGTCGGTTAGCATGCTAACCCCCCTTAGGGGTTGGAAAAATGACACCGCCTAGTTTATTAAATACAACTATAGAATTTAATACACACATTAAATACACATTAGGAATTAAATGTACCATATTAATTAGGAATTCTCTCACTATTAAATACATATTAGGAATTAAATACACACATTAAATACACATTAGGAATTCTCTCACTATATTTTATTTTTTCTTTTTCAGCAGTCTCCGACCACCAGACTTCCTCCGACCGCCACACTTCTCCGGTGAAAATCCCATCGGCAGACTCCCTCCGACCACCTCCAAAAAATATATCACTGCACTGATACGGTGTATCACTGTACTGGTAGATATACCACTGCACTGATACGTTGTACCACTGTACTGGTAGATATACCACTGCACTGATACGTTGTACCACTGTACTGGTAGATATCACTGATACGTTGTACCACTGTACTGGTAGATATACCACAGCACTGGTAGCGATATCAGTGCACTGGTAGCAATGTCATATCTGAGTATCAGTGCAGTGGTACAAATACCAATAAAGTGGTAATTAATGTGGTGTATTTAATGCTTACTTTGTATTTAATAACAGAACATTTATTATGTTTACTTTCATTAATACTTGTCAATAATTAATGAAAAATTGACCAATTAAAAGGGGGTGTCAAAAAACCAACCCCTTAAAGGGTTAGCATGCTAACCCGTCCCTCGGAGGATTCGTTAGATTAACACTGAGCGTTGGCGTCGGACGAACGGCGGAATGATCCAGAGACAAATGAGACACGAACAAGACGGGATTACAAATAATCAAATATTCTATCTTTTCACCACATCAAAGCCATTTTTTTAATTCATTACTTATATTTTAATTGATTTATCCTGAATTTGTAGATTTGGTCCCTCCAATTATAACGGATTCACTATTATTTAACTTTCCCGATCAATCGTGAAACGGCTGAAACAAGAGGATAAGATAAATAAGAGAGTAGATTAGGGTTGGTTTGTTGCGGGAGAATTTCACAAATATTATTTTTATTTTACTATTGATATGACGGTTTAAAAACTATTGACACAAATATTGTGTTTTGAGAGAGAAAAATAGTATGTCAGCCCCACACTCAGGTGGAGTCACTATTTAATTTTTTTTAACCAATTCGAATGTGGGCGCCCGAGATTGGGGCGTAGGCGCCCTTCCTTTGGTGGGAAATCTCACCTAGCGTAGGCGCTTGAGACTGAGGGGGGTTCGCTGCCTTACCCACCCACTCCAGCACCCATATAACCCAACGATTTTCCCCTTCAGTTTACTCACCACAAAAAAAAATCGATGTACAAGAAAAGCTCTGGTTGCTGCAAAGATGACCAATAGGTAAGAGACACATTTATTTTTTTAATTATATTCTTCAAATGCTGCTATGATTTTGTTTAGTTAGTAATTAGTGAGTTTTTTTTTATGTAGTGATTTTAGAAGATTTGAACTAGTCGTTCGATGGAAATCGGAGAAGTAGAGGATAATTTGGGCGTCCATTTCGTTTGTGGTAGAAAATTCAGTTGACGGTGCCATCCAGGGTGACATATCACTAACTTTGTGAGAACCTAATTCAGAGAACGGTGTAAAGACAAAGCAGTACAAGATAGTGATGTGATCACATGTTTCACTTACTATCTTCCAGAATGGCAGAATGGTGTTTTATTTCATTATGCGATGTCTATTGTGGATGATGATAGCTTGAATGCGCTTTGGAATTTTATGGCACAAAACCCTTATTGTTTGGGTGCTGAGATACATGGTGAGCTCAGTGAGGATCATGGTGGAGAGGAAGAAGATGAGACATGGAGCATGCCATCCGATCATGACGATGTTGACGGAGAGGAGGAGGAGGAGGAGGAGGAGGAGGAGGAGGAAGAAGAAGATGGGGAAGGAGAGAAGGCTAATTATCCTTCATATTTTTACTTGTAGGGTTATGAAGTGGACGACGAATTATCATATACTGATTCATATGACGTAATTCTAGTGCCTATTGTTGCTGGTTTTGAAGGAGAATTCTACAAGGGCAGATTTTTCACTCAAAACAAGCTGCACAGGTGGCGATTAAACACCACGCACTACAATGCAACTTTCAGTATGGCGTGGTGGAGTCATCACCTTCAATCTGGAAGGTCAGATGCTTGAAGCACAATGATGAAAATTGTCCTTGGATGGTGCGGTTTGGATGTCGAGATGTTGGAAGCGAATGGACTGTGAGAAAAGTTGAATTAGTGCGTTTTTGTAGCAGTACGACTCAACCGACGGATCATAGCCATCTTGATGTCGACGTTATATCTGAGTCCGTGAAACATTTGGTACGTGCCCAACTAAATATGAGTATTATAACTGTGCAGGCCGAGTTGAAAGATAAGTTTAATATGCAAGTTACTTACAAGAAGGCTTGGTATGGGAAACAAAGAGCATTGGAGAAGTTGCATGGAAATTGAGAAGAATCCTACGATTATTTGCAAACATTCTTGCGGGTGGTAAAGAGAAAAATGCCAACACTAGTGATTGATTGGGTAAGAGTTCCTTCATCGCAACCAGGTCATTTGATCTTTCAGCGAGTATTCTGGGCTTATGGACCTTGTATAGATGGATTCAAGAATTGTCCAGGAGTAATGGTTGTTGATGGAACATTTCTTACTGGAAAGTATAAAGGAGTGCTACTCATGACGAGCTCATTTGATGGTCGAAAGTTGGCCATGGTTCATAAGTCACGTTCAAGGTTTGACCAATCAAAATGATATATGCATCATCTCAGATAGACATGCGGGACTCTATGAAGCCATGAGTGACATCGGAAGAGGTTGGGAGTGGATGTGGTGCATGCGACACTATGCAAGCAATTTGCCAAGGAAGACTAAAAGCAGGATTATGTATAAGCAACTATTTCTTCATTTAATTGTGTTATTTATTTTAATTTATTATTTATTTTCATTTAATTTTTTCATGAATTTATCTAACTCGTGTGGTTATTTATTTTGTTAGTCGAAGAAAAACGTTTGGAGAACATCGATCGTCAAGTTGAGCAATTTAAGAAGATGGTCGCTGATAGAAATATTTCTTGTGATAACTGGGTGGACCAAAGTCAAATTCGTTGAGCTTAGCACATGATAACTATAATGGTGGGTGTCGATGGTCTATCATGACATCCAACATGGCATAGAGCATCGATGGTGTTTTCAAAAGTATTCGTTCACTTCCTATAGCTTCTCTTATGCAACATACTTATTGGCATCTGTTGGAGAATTTCAATAAGATGAGGTTGGAGACAGAAGCACAAATCAGAAGTGGTCGTTCACAGTACACCATCCCATGCGAAGAGCTGATGAATCCGTGGCCACAAATGGCAGTTGGACATTCCATGACGGGGGTTGATCGACTTTAGGGCATCTATATAGTTCAGACTCATCCCAACAACTTCAACATGACGGGTTCGAACACACTCATAGTGCACTTAGACGACAACAATCGGGCGAGATTTTTCACTTGTGGTAAATTCAAGTAAATAAAATCCATTGCTCTCATGCCATTGCAGCTTGCAACCGAATGGGGGCTAATCCATATAGGTTTAAATGACGTCTACAAGATTGAAACAATGTTGGCTTGTTATGGGACAAGTTTCACACCTCTTGGTGAACCTAAGGGTTGGAAGAAGCATAATGGCCCTACTCTCCATCCTAATGTGTACATGATTAGGAAGTCGGGGAGGCCACGAACAACAAGAATTCACAAGGAGATGGATTGACCAAGAGAGGGTGTATCACAACAAGTGTGTAGCAACTACAACCAATATGGACATAATGCATCAACTTGTGGTGGCCAAGCAAGTGGCAGTGGGAGCCAGCAAAGAGGAAATAGTAGACAACGACGTGCGATAGGTGGTAGAAGAGGAAGTAGTGGTAATAGACGTGTTATGTAGTTTGGTGGAACTTATATCAAATGTAGTAGTTGTTGTTTTTCCAGAAGTAGTTATTGTTTGATGTTGTTATGGTTTCCTATGAAGTTGTCTGGAACTTTTATGTTATTGTTAGGAATTTTATAAAATGCCACTTGTTGTTGTTTGTTGTTTTTATAGTTAAAGTTTTAATTTTAGACAATAATAACATAATACATAATAGTAAAATAATTCATCATGAAATTAAAAATAGTCCACAACTACTATGACATAATAACCATAGAAGTATATAATAATAACCATAGACAATAATAACATAATACATAATAGTAGCATAATAGTCTCACTGGCCGATGTGTTAATTGCACCTCCTCTCCGTGTGCCTGCACGTCTGGTAACATCTCGATCTCTAGATGCTCCGAGTGGTATCCTAAAGAGACATCACTGTAGCTCATACGCGCGATGAACTCATGTTGACGGTTCCACAAATCAATCGACTCACTGGCTGCTTGTATCAATTGCTGCCCACGCGATGGCCCATGTTGGCCCTGGCGAAGGAAAAACCTAATCTCAGCCGCGGGATGTGGCTGATGAGGCTCATCCTACATCATGCCAAACTGTCCGAGCACGCAGTCTGGATGGTGCCACATCAGCGATGAAAAGTAGACCAGTGGAACTACTGCTCAAAACGTATCAGACTGGATCACACTACCGTTGAGGTCCCGAGCTCTCTCAAAGTAAGGATGCCACTACACCATGGTTCTCACACCGGCCGGCGTGCCATCGGTTGAACCTGGTTCAATCGATACCGTTCATAAAACCGGCGTGACACCACCGGTATGACCGGCATGATCGATATACGAATCTCTAAGTAAATGACCTTATTTGAGTGAGTTTAATTGATAAAAATAATTTTATTATTTATTTTATGAGTATAAAAGTTAAATATTGATGTTATTTGTTGGATTCAAGTATAAATGTTTAAGTATTAACGTTAAATGTCATGTTTAAATATGAGTATTTATAATTTTATTTGTAATATTGACCGACATGAACCGGCACAAATCGGTATGTGCCACCGGTCGAACCATTCCACTTGCTAAACCGGCACACTGGCATAAACTGGTTTGACAACCTTGCACTACACACAAGAAGTGGTCACATAATTACTCCTAATTCTAAAACAAACCAATGAAAACTATTTTGTAAAATAAAATGTTATATACTAACCACGAAGGTCGTGCTATCATCAAACCACAACTTGTACTAGTAGAACTGATTACCATGCTGTCGGGTTTGGGCCGAAAGCCATCAAACACCATGTGGGAATGCGTCCTCGGTAATCTGCGCCCCCGTCTCTGTATGTAGTGGTGCTGTATATGAAAATTGCTCCCATGCCCCGAGCTGCAGTAAGGCGGACCATCCACCAAGGTCACCACCTGTTGAAGAGGACTGTGTCATTTGCAGCACTGACCTACCCATCTCATGGTACATGTAGGATAGAACAGATGTTCCCCAGGCGAACCTCCCAGCTTTGTGCCAATCCTCCACCCAGAGTAGGTACTGTAGATGAATTGAAGCTCCAGGCCGATCGGGGAACAGTACTCCTCCTATTAGAGATAGAGCATAAGCTCGTGCAAACTGCTATGTAGTCTCTGGTGATGCATCTGCCGGTAGATGATCGAATGAATCCCTGAGCCAAGCAATCCTAATGGCACCGTGGGAAAGATCAGTAGGAGCCCGTCCTAACAGTCGAACACACATCTCTGACCAGTCCTCGTCTGGTATGTCTACTATGACGACATCACCGGTCTAGTGTCGCAATGTCCTCTAAAGTCAGGGGCGGATACATGGGCCTCTAGGGGTGTCCCGGGACACCCCTAAAATTTAGAAAAACGATTATCTAACCTCCGGTAGTAGTTTCTTATGGGTATACAAAATATAATTGGTAATTCGGGACACCCTAACATTTGAAAAAATGATTATCCTACCCTCGATAATAGTTTGCTTATGATTGACAAAATATAAGTGGTAGTCCGTGTTATTCCAACCTAGGACACTACTATTATCAAACATATTCTAATTATGTTGCTACTCATTTGTTATTCTATTTTAAACATCATGCAACTAGTAAAACGCTATTTTTTTTATCCCCAACTATTTTCAATACCTAATAATTAAACTACGTACACGCTACCCTTAATTTTGAATTGATTTTATGGTTACACGGCAAGTGTTGAAAGAGTCTTTTCTACTTTGAGCTACATTAAGAACAAGGTTAGAAATAGAATATGTGATAAGTTCGTGAAGTATAGTCTAGTAGGATATGTAGATTTTTTTTGAACAGTGCAGACACGAAGTTTATTTTATATTATTTTTTCAAAATATGAAAACACATCATGAATTTTAATAAAAAATTTATGCAAGTATGATATTTTTAATATATGAATTATTTAATTTATTATTTAATTAAATTTAATTTTTGAAGAGGACACCCCTGTGAAAATTTTCTGAATCCGCCACTGTCTAAAGTGATCGTCACCTCACCAAATGGCATGTGGAAGGTCGATGTTTCGGGTCGCCAATGCTCTACGAGCGCAGTAATCAAACCCCGATCAGTAGTAATAGGGACCAATGGCAGAACCCCAAACAAGCTCGCCTTGACGAGGTACGTCTCATAACGTGGATGGTACGTGACTAAATTGGCCGTACTTTGTTCCTTCTCAATGCTTGGTCGATTTTTAGGGGGTTTTGTTTGATTCTAAGTTTGAGGAGTTTTAATTTTGATTTTTAGGGGTGGTGTATTTTGGAAGATTTCCCTAGATCTGGAATAAGAAACTGGGGACGACGACAACGACGGATCGATGCTGACACGTGCAGCGACGATGACGATGGGTTGGATTTCGGGCTGAGGTTGTAGCGACGGTCTGGAGAGGAGGCTATATCAACTGGTCTTGGCGAGATGGTGGCGGCTCCGAATGCGACGAGAAAGTTTGTGGTGCGTCGGACTAGGTTGCTGAAGGCGGCAGAGTTTACGACAACGAGCGGCACCAGGATGAGGAAAAAGCAACGAGCGGTTGCGGGAGAAGATGACTGTGGCGCCACTGAAACTTGATTCGACGGTGGTGGTAACATGTACCTCGTCGACGTGACGAGGAGATCGATGGCACCGCTGATCTCTGTTTTGGCTGCTGCACGTGCGAAGAGGAAGGAGAAGAGAAAGGTTGTTGTGAGGAGAGAATGAGGTGGAATCTTTTTTTTTAATTGACACGTCATTAAGTTAATGCTCAGTCAGCACTTTCGTTTGCCACGTCATCAAAAATTTGACGGTGTTAATGGAGTCTGATGGAGACTGACGGAGGGTGACTAACAGTGAAACGAATCGTAAAGTTAGTGACTAATATGAAAAAAAAGTAATTTGAATGACAAAAGTGAAAAATTTATGTAATTCGAGTGACCAAACGTGTAATTTAGCTGGCAAGGTTATAAGAAATTAAGAACAATTGAGTCGTGCACACATGTAATATGCAAATGGGAAAAGTAGATTAGCAAAGAAAAAAACAAAAGGAAAGAGATAAAGCAAGGGCTCAAAGCGTTTTCTATTTGATTAAAACAAAGAGGGAAAGGAAACAAAGGGTGGAAATTCCAAAGTGGAAGTAGAAAACCAACCCAAAACACTTTGGATTCCGACAAAGCAAACTCACCAGTCATCTCTCTGCAGTTTTTCTTCGACTCCCTCAATATATAACGCCTTCCCTTTCCCCCCCTTTCCCTTTCTCTAGCCCAAAGCAAAGCCATCTCGCGCTTCGTCCTTCATTCCAATCCCATCTCTCTTTTCCAATTTTAGGGTTCTCCCTCATTCCCAAAACCCCCAGTCTCCTCTCTCCTTCATCTCTCACCTCTTCAATGGCTGCCTGTGACCTCCCAATCATGTCAATTGCTGGGCCTTCTCCAGCTTCTAAAGTTATGGACGACAGTTATGAAGAATCCTGCAGCATCTGCCTCGAGCCTTTCACTGTGCAAGACCCCGCCACTGTAAAATCATCACTCTTTCACTCCATTATTCGATCGTTCTTGTTTAGGGATGATTGGGTTTTCTTTTAACAATAATGTGATTCTAAAAGTGTTGGGAGTGATGTAAAGTTGTGATCTTTATGTTCCCTTTGTCCTGTTTGGAGCTGATCAGTTACTGGGTTTGTTTCAGTTTTGGTGATTAGTTACTTTTTTTGTTCATTTTTTTGATATGTTGCCTGTTTGACTCAGGTGACCAATTGCAAGCATGAGTACCATCTGCAGTGCATTCTCGATTGGTATGCTGTTGAACTATTGCGTTGAATTTGCCGGCCAGATACATCTTGTAGAATGATTGATTGATGTTTTGTTTTTGTTTCTTTTCAACTCTCCTCAGGTGCCAGAGAAGCAAAGAATGCCCAATTTGTTGGCAGCTCCTTTCCCTGAAAGAACAATCCAGGTACCTGTTCAATTTCTTGTGTTTTCATCGAGGCACGGCAGGTATATTTGGCTAATTCTGCTTGATGAATGGCTTCCTGATTGCCTTTGCGTAGTCAAGAGCTGTTAGCTGCTGTTGCGGCCGAGAGGCATTCGAGGTTAACGATCCGATCTCGTCCTGCATCCGCCACCAGACCTTATCTCTTTGACAATTTTGATGTAGAACAGGTAATTTAATCGATTGAATGCACACAGTGTGACTGAAAAGCATCTCTTCAATGACTTCAATCATGTTGCATGTTGCCTTGTATAAAGCCTTCTCCTTGAATCCTCTGGTTGTCCCATTTCAGGACTCCTACTCAGATGATTCGGACTTTGACGAGCGTATAGGGCAGCATCTTGCTGCAGCTGTGTACAGAGCTCGCCAGTTCCAGAGGAGGGAGAATAGGTCCCCACCTCGACTCGGTACTTCCAGGGTGTTCGTCTTTGAACCCCATGCGGTTGATTTCAGGAATGATCAGCAAATTTCATCTGGTGGCCTCAGTTTGAGTCCTGCCTCATCTGGAAGTGCTTCACCAACTTCTCCCATACCGTCACTTACCCACCTCAGGAACTCCGAGGACGCGATTTCCTATGATCGCCCCAATGGCCTGTTCAGGACTGGGTATGGGATCATGACTCGACCTCTCCTCATTTTCTATCTGGTTGAATCAGGGTACTCATTGGTTCTTGCCAGCCGTATGATTGCTCTCTTTATGATTTTTCGGGCTTTACGGTAATGCAGGATTCTCTTCGGACAGTCACAATCCGAAAGCCCCGACGAGCCAGGTTCTTCGAGGATTGTGTCATTGTCTGACTCCATCAAATCCAAATGGGTTGCTGCTTCATCCAAATACAAGGAATCGATCACGAAGGGCACTCAAGGTATAAAGGAAAAGTTGCTTGCACGTAACAACTCGGTTAAAGAACTGAGCAAAGGAGTCCAGCGAGAAATGAGTGCCGGAATTGCAGGCGTTGCAAGAATGGTGGAAAGATTAGAGCTTTCCTCCTCGAAACGCAGCAGCCCAGCTGGTTCCGGGGAAACCGGCTCAAGTTTCTGCTTCAAGGGGAAAAATGTGGAGGACAATTCTCTTGCTAGAGCTCTCCAGAAAGACGAGGCAATGGAGGAGATCAGCCTCGGTGGCCACCGCCCTTCCACACCTGTCCCTTGCCATTCAAAAGTTTCTCATCTCCAGGTGTGTAGGAACACTTGGAGCTAGTGATCTTTCTTCCTCACCACACTTCCTTGGTAACCTGTTTCCCCGTTCCCTTCTTTCAGATGGGTCATTGATTGTTGCAGTTGAGTGCAATCCGCCATTTTCAACAACCGTGTGCTTTCTTTCTGAAGAAGTGGATGCTAGAGAAGAGCAAATATGCAAGTGACGGCTTTTCGAAGATTGAAGAAAACCAATTCCCTTGATGGGTCTTTGCGTCCTGCATTTTTTTGCCATAACCGATTAGCCTCTTGAGCGAGCATTTACGAGCCTTCTACTGATCTCCAAGACTCTCCCATTACGGAGGATCCGGTGATAAGTTTCGAACTTTGGAACAACTTACCTGTAAACTAGCCTCCGAGGCTAATCCTTAATTTAAGTATATTATAATTCCGTGTTGGATTCTGAGTATTGATCAATGTTACAGGCTTTATCTGCAGTTCTGAAATTGAAAATGAAGAGACAAAGATTATGTTGCTATATATGTATAAGAAAGGAGAAAAAACAAAGGGAAGCTTTCTTTTTCTGTTATTTCCCAACTCTCCTAACTATGAGTGTAATGCCATGCACTGCAATAACCTGAAGTGAAATATGCCAATTTTAGAAACAGAGACCACAAGAAAGAAGTTGACACAAATAGGTAAGGGTAGTTAGGTAGTATGTAGTGACTGGTGAAATATCTATTCACAATCGCCATTGGGGTGCATAACTTGCCAGTGAAGTAAGACGAGCACCCGTTGCAGGCCAAGAACACATAGCAAAGCGCGATTTCGTGCAGCCCTTCTCACAGGGAGCGACGACCCAACTCCCAAGGCCTTTCATGCTATCATCAGGCATGGAAGCTGGTTGCATTGCAATGGGGTTCAAACGAGGCCAGGAGCCGCAGCATTGACGCGGATCCCCTTGCTAGCAAGCTGCAGTGCCAAACTGCCAATCCCGTGGTGACTCGTGAAGGCTGCAATGGCTCCTTTCTTCGCTGTGTTATAGAGTTTGAGGCACCCTTAAGTGAAGTATTACTTAACAGATTAACACATAGTCAAAATCCGTTGTAGTCTAGTTGGTCAGGATATTCGGCTCTCACCCGAAAGACCCGGGTTCAAATCCCGGCAACGGAATGTTTTTTTCCCGCCTGTCACCAGAGCCTACCCAGATAGGTTATGCTAACTTGTGACATTCTTGCAAAGATATATTGTGATCATTTACATCTTTATATTCATCATCTATAATTTCCTATTTCAAATGATTTTTTTTTTCCGTTGAATTAGATTCTTTCGTATTGATGAAATGAAAAAAGGCCAATACAACGAGAAGAGCCAAACGCTCAAAATGGTCCCTCACAAATCAACAAGGACCACCCGCCTATACAATACTATTGTCAAACCTGCAAAAGTATGAGTAAACTATCTAAAGGTATCCTATCGTCTCCAGCTCCTTGCGCATCACCACATTTCCTGCCACCAGAAAGCATAACTCAGCTTTTATTAGAAAAGCAACTTCCTCAGGATCTCTTCTATTTTTTCCATGCACCAGCAGACAACGTTCTTTCCAAATAAATGATAGGAGCATGCACCAAATCGCCCCATGCCAACTTCCAGAATTACCTTGGCGAGCTATAAGACAAACTTCAGATAGCATTGAGTCCCAATCCCAAAAATTCAAGAGTTTGCATCTCAGAGTAACTACAACTCTGCGCGTGAACATACACTGCAGAAATAAATGCTCTCTAGTCTCAGCTGCAGACCCACATAGAACACAGGAAGAATCAGTAATTTTCCCCCACTTGCTGCAGTTTTGTCTTAGTCACAATGGCATGCCTAACAATAAGCCAAGCAATTAGACTATAGCGAGGAGGACATGGTGTGCCCCAGATAAGTCTATACCACTGGACCTCTTGCTGTCTACTACGAAGTGAATCCCATACTGTTCTGACTGAGAATGTGTGCATCAGGCGAGATCCCCAGAAGACTCCTTCAGTTCCTCTTCGTAGCCAGGGACTGACAGTGTGCCTCAGTTTTAGCAGCTTCCTCCAAGTCCAAGAACTGCTAAACTGGGGCTTCATCGACCAAAGATCCCTCTGTTTGCACTTATATTCATGCATCCAGGCCACCCAGAGAGTACCTGAGTTAAGGAGGAACGACCAAAGCATTCGCACTGTACAAGCCTGATGCCAGGCCAAAAGATCCTTTATCCCCAAACCACCTTCCCTCTTTGGAAGGGCAATTTTATCCCAGGCCACCTTTGCACGACCTTCATCAGTGCCATGCCATAAAAACTGAGAGCAGAGTTTCTGCACCCTCTTGAGAACCAGTTTGGGCAAGACAAAAATATGCATCCAGTATTGCACAATCCCCAATAAAACAGAATTAAGCAATTGCAATCTTCCAGCATAAGTAAGCTTCTTAGCCCGCCATGATCGAATTCTTTTAGTTATTTTATCAACCAGGATATCCGCTTCTTTTGAAGAAAGCTTCCCTGTGAGTAGAGGCAAAACCAAGTATCTAACTGGCAAGGAACCCTCCTGGAACCCCGAGAGAGACAAAGCAGTGTTCTTAAACTTAACAGACTCCCCTCCAAAATATATTTCACATTTTGAAGGGTTGCATTTAAGCCCTGAGATACTGTAAAATTCTTCCAAAACAGACTTGACTTGAAGAATAGCTTGGGTAGATCCAGAGGTAAACACAAGGATATCATCCGCAAAACATAGGTGATTCAATCCTATTCTTTTGCACTGGGGATGATAAGGAACTCTACCTGCTTGACTAGCCTGCAACAGTAATGTGGAGAGACCCTCCATGGCAATAGTAAAAAGGTATGGGGATAGAGGACCCCCCTGCCTCACACCCTTTCGAGCTCGAAAAAATCCACACAAACTCCCATTCACATTAATACTGTAATGAGCTGTCTGAACACA